TACGTTCACAGTGCCATGCAATCAGTATCACTGTGTGGTTCCAAACAATTTCATCACCCCAAAAGAAACCTCTTGCACTTATTAAGCAGTCACTCCTCTTACCTCTCTCCTGACACCTGGTAACTGCTAATCTTTTTTTTTTTTTTTTTTTTGCCTCTAGGATTTGCCTATTCTGGACATTTCATATAAATGGAATCCTACAATATTTGTCTTTTAGTGACTGGCTTGTTTCACTGAGCATAGTGTTTTCAAGGTTCATCTAGGTTGCCATGCATATCAGCATTTCATTCCTTTTTTTTTTTTGAGACTGGTCTCAATTTGGATGCCCAGACTGGAGTGCAGTGACACAGTTAAAGCTCACTGCAGCCTCGAGCTCCTGGGCTCAAGTGATCCTCCTGCCTCAGCCTCTCAGGTAGCTGGAAATATAGGTGTGCACCCCCAAACCCAGTTAGATCTTTTTTATTTTTATTTTTATTTATTTATTTTTGAGATGGAGTCTTGCTCTATCACCCAGGCTGGAGTGCAGTGGTGCAATCTCGGCTCACTGCAACCTCCGCCTCCCAGGTTCAAGCCATTCTCCTGCTTCAGCCTCCTGAGTAGCTAGGAGTACAGACACACGCCATCACACCCAGTTAATTTTTGTATTTTTAGTGGAGACAGGATTTCACCATATTGGTCAGGTTGGTCTCAAACTCCTGACCTCAGGTGGTCTGCCTGCCTCAGCCTCCCAAAGTGCTGGGATTACACGCATGAGCCACCGTGCCTGGCCTGTTTTTTATTTTTAGTAGAGATGGGTCTTATGTTATGTTACCCAGGCTGGTCTCAGTCGCCTGGGCTCAAGCCATTCCCATCTCGGCTTCCCCAAAATATTTGGCTTACAGGCGTGAGCCACCACGCCTAGCCTCGTTCCTTTTCATGGCTGAGCAATATTCCATTGTATGGATGGACTATATTTTGCGTATCCATTTGCCACTTGATGGACACTTGTCAATTCCCACCTTTTGGCTGTGAACAGTGCTGCTGTGAATGTGTGTGGGACAGCTGCCTGTACGGACAGAGAGGAGAAGAGAGGGGAGAGAGAGAATGCCTGTGTTACCCAGGTTTCTGGCTGAGTGACTGAGTTAGGGACGGGCTGGGGAGGAGAGGGGCAGGTTTGAGGGTAAGAAGGTGAGTGGGTTTTAGGCCTGTGTGGACTGGATTAGTGCTCCCACAGGATGGGGGACAGGGATCTGTCTGTATCTCGTAGAGGTGGTGGGGTCCCAGCACCCAGCGTCTCCCCAGACTCTCCTGGGGAAGAACCATCACAGTTTACAAACCACACCCCTTGCTCTGCAGTAAAGAACAGCGGCCCTGGGGCCCGGTTCCCAGAGCTTAGGGTGTAACTGAGATAGAGTTCCACCATCCACACTGACCCTGCTCCCTATCTATGGTCGGACAGGTCAAATGGAAACGCCCCAGGCCAGGGCCTCAGCCTGCTGTGGGCATCACAAAGCCCTGTCTGTGTGGCAGCTGTACCCTCCGGGAGGGCTGTGAGGCTCCCTCCAAGGAAACCAGTACGTGGCTCCCTCTTAGGGACTTTATCCTGCAGAGAAGAACTGTGCAAAATGATGCTCAACAGTGATTCCCTGGAAATGACCGGCTGTCTACCGGCAAGGACTGGTGACGAAGCTGACAGGCCAGCCCTGCAGAGTGCCACATGGTTGTCAAAAGGAATGCGAGAGGCTGCGCGATGGCTCGCCTCCTGAATCCCAGCGCTTTGGGAGTCCGAGGTGGGATGATGTCTTGAGGTCAGGAGTTCCACGCCAGCCTGAGCAAGGTAGTGAGACCTCGTCTCTACAAAGAATGTTAAAAATTGGGCTGAGCGGGTGATGCAGGCCTGTAGTCCCAGCTACTAGGGAGCATGAGGCTGGAGGATTGAGCCCAGAAGGTCGAGGCTGTAGTGGGCCATGTTCATACCACTGCATGCCAGCTTCGTGCTAGCTCAAGAGATATGCCTACCTTGGCCACCCAAATTGCTGGGATTACAGGTGTGAGCCCCCACACCCAGACTGTGATGGCTTTTGAGAACAGCATGGTGGCATGATGCCAGGGCTCAAAGACGGCTCACTCCTGTATTCACCTCATCCCCAAAACAGCCCCCTTCCTGGGTTGGGTGAGTAAACCAGCATTTCTCAGAATTGTGACCTGGTTACATAGAAGCCCAGGGCCAGCTGGGCTGGCACTACCAGGCGGTGGGCAGACTGCCTCTTCCAAGAGAGGAAATCCTGTCATCCCAGCACTATAGCTGGGACTATAGCATCACCATGCTCAGCTAATTTTTAAAACATGCTTTGTAGAGATGAGGTCTCACTACATGTTCAGGCTGGTCTGGAACTCCTGACCTCAAGTGATCACAGCACTTTGGGAGGCCGAGACAGGTGGATTAACTGAGGTCGGGAGTTCAATACCAGCCTGGCCAACATGCTAAAACCCCGTCTCTACTAAAAATACAAAAATTAGCCGGGCATGGTGGTGGTGCGCACCTGTAGTCCCAGCTACTCAGGAGGCTGAGGCACGAGAATCATTTGAACCTGGGAGGTGGAGTTTGCAGTGAACCGAGATCATGCCACTGCGCTACAGTCTGGGTGACAGAGTGAGACTCTGTCTCAAAACCCAAACCAAAACAAAACAAAAAACCCAACCAGACAAAAACCACAAACAAGAGAGAGGAAATTTACATCCTCTCAGTGTGGTCATTAGGTCACCCAACCCCCAGCCAGCCACTGCCTGAACGCTAACCACTTCTGTCCCAGGTAGGAAGAGCAGAGGGGCCACACACGACTGTGTTGGCTCCAGAACCCTGCAAACAGCACATCAGAATCGGAAAATCCAGCCCCGAGCTTACAGGTGCCAATCACTGTGACCTGGGTGAAGTTCCAGCTTACCAGCTGTGTGACCTTGGTCAAGCCACTTAACCTTCTTGAGCCTCAGTTTTCTCCTGCATAACGTGAGAAGAGTTTGGGGATAAGTAAAATAACATTTACAAGGTGCTTGGCACAGAGCAGGAGCTCAAAAAACATTTGCTCTTATTTGTCTAATCCTTATGAGCAAATGGTTCTTCATCTTTTGGGACTGGGCAGGACCCTTTGGGAATCAGAGAAAAGCTTGACTTTCTCCCCAGAAAAGTGTGTTGTCCACACGTACGACACAATTTCCGGTGCTCACCTCATGGTGGCTCTGAGCTGCGTGGCTGGTGCCCGTGGTGTGTCCAAGCACTGCCGTGGCATTATCGGCTTGGCACACATCCAGAGCCTCGGGCTCCAGGCTTTGCTGTGCTGAGCTTCCCCTGAGCCCTGGGATGTCTCTGCAGTCAAAACTCAGCTCACAGGCCCTTGTGTAATGCTTGGACCTGCAGGCAGACGGTGCCAAGAGCTCTGTGCCTCCATCTCTGTCCCCCAGACCCAGGGTTTCAGGCAGACACAGGGCTGCTGGCAGCTGACAGGCAGGACCCGGGGGCAGAAGGCGACATGCTGGAGGTTTCCTTGAAATCCTCATGTGAACCAGTCCTCGGTGCCACCCCACTCCTCTGCTGCCTTCACTGTTTCATCAGAGAAGGGGGAACAGGGAACCCCACTCCAGCCCTCGGCCCCTGTCTCCTCACCCGCTTATTAGCAAGTATCTACCCCACAGCCCTGCACTCTTGATCCGGGTTAAAACTCACTCTGGGAAGCAAGCAAAGCGGGCGTATAAACAAACCCCACCAATGTTTTTCCAAGACAACTTCCTATGCATAGTTTACTCACTCCTAATTTGTCTCTTCCTCTATGATATCAAAGTAGTTTTCACTTTGTTTATTTATTTCTGTTTCAGCTACTCTGAGAGTTTGAAGTCAAACAAATAGATATAAATCACTCAACTGGCTTTTTATCCGAGACTCCTTCCCGGTCATGTCTGTCCAGTCAGCACAGAGCACTTAGCAAAGAAGCACAGCCTCCAGGCTGAAACACGAAGGCCTCAGCTTGGCGGGGAGATTTACGGTTTAACTTAAGGCTTTCACAAGATGGAAGCAGGAGGCCTCTGCCCTAGCGTTACTCGCGTGGTGGTTTATTTGCCCCAAATAACAGCAGCTGCACTCGGAGTCACCGCGCCTCTCTCCACCCAGCACGTCTAGCTTGTTTCTGGGGGCTGTCTTGGAAAAGGAAGCATTGCTCATGGGCTCTTGAGGAGACATTCTATTTTTTTCAAGGTATCACACCTCCTGGCAGACCTGAGGCTGGTGGTGTGAGATGGATTGTCAGGGAGAGAGGAACAAGGTCCTCCTAGACCCCCATCCATCCATTCCCACCTCCCCCAGAGATTTCTGCTGCTAATTTGTCTTCTGCAGGTCAAAATGTCAGAAAATGCTACAGGCCACACAATATTGTTTTTTTCTTTTTTTTTTTTTTGGAAGAGATCTTTACACAGAGTTTTTTATTAATAATTCATACCTTGTCTAGGTGGTAAAACCTAGCAGAGGATTAACCCATGCCCGTGGTATTTGAAACTATAAAGAATAAAGTTTTCTCCTGTATGTGTTAGGGAATTGCTCTGGCTGCAAGTAACAGAGAACTGAAATAACAGCTATTTAACACAAGACACAAATTTCTTTTCTGTGTCATGTAAAAGAAACTCAAGCAGCGGTCCTGGGCCCCCAAGTGTCATCAGTGACTGTATTTCTTCTCTCTTTCTGATCTACCATCCTGCAAGCGGGTTTCCATCCTCATCGTCACCTCAAGATGCAAGAACACCGCTGGTGCTCCAGCCATTGCATCTGCATCCTGCACAAAAACTGAGAAAGCACCATTTGTCTTCCCCAAACCTCCTTACATTTCCCTAATTGCAAGGAGGCTGATATATGTTCTTTTTGCAGTTGTGCATGTAGATTCCCAGGATACATCAGGATTCTCTTAGGAAGGAAGGGGAGTCTGGGAATTAGGTTGTTAATGAGCAGTTGCTCCCACGGTTCCCACAGATAGACAGACCTGGGTTTGAACTGAGCCTGCTGCCCAGCAGCTTCCTGCACATGCAAAGGATGCGCCTGTGAGGGTGCAACCTGGCCTGGTTTGGCTGTGCCCGTCAGGTCCACCCTCTGCAAATCTGCATCAAGCAGGTGAAGGAGAAGAATGGTTCTAGAACTCCTAGGACTTTTGTTACCTGCTGAGTGGCACGACTTTCCTGCACTCCCTCAAGCTCCTGGGCAGTGCGGTATGAACCCCCAGAGGGCTGTACCCCACATGCTTGCTCCTGACCTGCAGGAGGAAGCTGGGCTGCCCTCTAGGGACACTGAACGCAGGGCAGGGGCAGCGCTATGTGAGAAGAGTTGAGTAACGGGGCCTGGCCTCATGGCTGGAATCACACGGCAGGCCAGGCACAGACCGCAAGGACTCTGCAGGGTCTGTGAGAGGATGGGTCTTCCCAGGGTGACAAGATAATTTGTTGATCTTCCAAATCAGGATGCATTTGAGTCCACGGAGTGCGACAGGCAAGTATTGCCCTAAGCCCAGGGATAAATTAGCCTGCTCGGGACCCTGGGGTGTGTCCAGGCACCCTACACAGGAACGTGGGGCCTGAGTCCCCAGCTAAGCTCCCTGGGCGTGGTTTCCAGGTTAGGAGGGTGGCAAGGGCTCAAGGCCTTGCAAGCTGTTCACAAACAAAGGGTCGAAACAAAGAAATAATAATACATTTTAATGCAAGAGAAATCATAGCCTGGTACACACCCCCTTCCCCAATCTGTCCTGCCTGGGGATGTGTTTACAGTGAGTGTGTCCCCAGGGCTAGTGGTCACCTGGCTGTCCGGGTCCCTGCCCTACTGGTGGCAGCACGCTCAATCCCAGCATTACATTCAGCTGCTGCTCTGACTCTGAGAGGCCAGCTGGCCTCGGCCTCCAGCTTGGTCCTTGCTCCCCTCTGTCTCCTGCTCAGGCCAGCAGGGCCAAACCGCTTGGGCCAGGTCAGCCGGGGCTGGGAATGGGCTGGCCCTGCCTCCCCAGGTGCACCTGTGCCCCCCGGGCTCCATCACCGAGTGGGGCAGAGCATCTGCTGGGCAGCCTGTGGGCCAAGGCAGGATCCCTCCCACCCACCGCATCTCTCTGCTCCGGGCGCCTGCCTCATAGGATGCCCCGCACCGCAGCTGCCTCTCTGCCTGGGCGCCGCGCTGCCAGCTGGTCTGTCCACCCAGATGGTCTTGCGCTGCTCCTCGCCGATCTTGTTCTGGGATAACGCTCGAGCAGCTCCTCTACGCTGCCCCACATGTCGGGTTCTACCGCGGGCGTACAGGCACGGCAGGGCCTCCAGCTCCTTCTCCTTCAGCCGGCACACGCGCAGGAACTCCTCCTCGTCTCAGGCCGGGCAGCAGCTTTCTGGGAGGAGACATGCAGGGCTGTGGGGAGGCTGCCAAGCAGCGGCACTGGTGTGGCACCACCTGCCCGACACCCTGGACTGCCGCTGTCCCCACCCCCTTCCCTACCTTGCTTCTCCCTATAGTGTCCGTGTTCTAATGTGCTAGGACTGTGCCCCTTAAGCTGCTTATCGGAAATTCCAAACACATCCTTACTGATTGATTGATTGATTGATTGATTGATTGATTGTCCAGATGGAAAGTCTCGCTCTGTCACCCAGGCCGAAGTGCAGTGGCACCGATCTCGGCTCACTGCAACCCACCTCCCCGGGTTCAAGCGATTCTCCTGCCTCAGCCTCCTGAGTAGCTGGGATTAAGGCACGCGCCAACATGACCGGCTAATTTTTATATTTGCAGTGAGATGGGGTTTCACCATGTTGGCCAGGCTGGTCTTGAACTCTCGACCTCAAATGACCTGCCTGCCTCGGCCTCCCAATGTGCTGGGATTACAGGTGTGAGCCACCGGGCCTGGTCACATCCTTTTTATTTTTAATCGTGCTAAGATAATGCATAAAGAAAATCGACCATTTCACCTATTCTTTAAGTGAGTAATTCAGTAGCATGAGGTATATTCACACCACTGTGCAACCCAATTCCAGAACTTTCATCTTCCCAAACTGCAACTCTGGGCTCACAAATACTCCCCTCATCTTCCTCCCGCAGCCCCCAGGAACCACCCTTCTGCTTCTGTCTCTAGGAATCTGACTGCTTCCAGCCCCCAGGAACCACCTCTTCTGCTTCCTGTCTCTAGGAATCTGACTGCTTTAGAGACCTCATAGAAGTGGGAATCACACAGCATGTGTGTTTTTGTAACCGGTTTATTTAACTGAGAACAACATCTCAAGTTTCATCTCACACTTCACAAAGTGGGTGTGAGAATCTCTTCCTTTGAAGGCTGAATACCCACTGTAGGGGCTGGGTGCGATGGTTCACGCCTCTGTCATCCCAGCACTGGGAGGCTGAGGCGGAGGATCACTTGAAGTCAGGAGTTCGAGACCAGCCTGACCAACATGGTGAAACCGAATCTCTAGTAAAATACAAATTAGCTAGGGCAGTGGTGGCGGGCGCTTGTAATCCCAGCTACTTTGGGAGGTTGAGGTAGGAGACCTTGAACCCTGGGAGGAGGCTGCAGGGCCAAGATTGTGCCACTGCACTCCAGCCTGGGTGACAGAGTGAGACTCCGATTCAAAAATAGAACAAACAAACAAACAAATTCCATGCGCTGTTTTTGGTGCAATACACACTGCATCGCAAACACATCCCAAGGCAGGGCAGACCAGGAACAGGGTGTGTACCATGCTATTATTTCTCTTGCATTAAATGTATTATTATTTCTTTGTTTCAACTATTTTTTGTTAATAGTTTGCAAGATTTTCAGCTCTTGCCACCTTCCTAGCCTGCATGGGTGGTATATTCATCCTCACGGACTGACCTTGGGTGAAGTCCATGTTTTGGGCTATTGGGAGTAACGCTGTTAGAACACAGGCGTTAGGAGACCTTGCTCTCACTTCTCTTGGGGACATGCCCACAGGTGGGGTTGCTGGGTTATATGGTATTCTATTTTTAATTTTGGGGGGCATCGCCATGCTGTCCTCCACAGTGGCCGCCTTCTTTTGCATCTCTGCAGCTGCACTCGGGGTTTCGACGCCTATCCTCCTCGCCAACTCTTGTCAGTTTCGTGCTTTGGTCCTGGCCAGCCTAACGGGTGTGAGGTGTTGAGGGGGGATGCCGGTCTCTTTGCTCACTGCTGCCTCCCAGAGCCTAACCCTTCCCGGGGCCTGTGAGTATCTGGTGAAAAGGAATGGAGGGGCCTAAACTCTGTCTGTTATTCCTCTGTAAAAATGGCTGCAGGCCATTTACTTTGCAGGTACGTGCGAGGAGGGGCGGATCCAGAGGAAGCCACGAAGGGCTGTCTGTCCTCGTCACCCAGGCCCCAAACCTCAGCGCCTATCCTTTTGTTCCTTTTTTGTTTGTTTTTTGTTTTTTTGAGGTGGAGTCTCACTCTGTCGACCAGGCTGGAGGGCAGTGGCTCGATCTCATCTCACTGCAAACTCCACCTTCCATGTTCAAGCGATTCTCCTGCCTCTGCCTCCCAAGTAGCTAGAACTACAGGTGCATGTCAATACAATCTCGCTAATTTTTTGTATTTTAATAGAGACTACGGGGTTTCATCACGCTTGGCCAAGCTGGTCTCAAACTCCAACTTCAGCTGATCCACCCACCTCGGCCTCCCAAAGTGTGGGGATTACAGGCGTGAGCCACCACGCCTGGCCTCTCGTTCTCTGGAACCTCAGAGTGAACCCTCTCCCCGAATCCTGCAGGTTCGACTCTGAGCATGGATCCAAAGTCACACTGCCTCTCATCACCTCCCAGACAGGATCCCGGCCCGCACCGCCACCCTGCCCCTGTTCACACAGAGGTGAGAGGTAGCGCTTATACCCTAAAGTGGACTATGCCACGCTCCGCTCAGAACCTTCAGCTGCCTCCAGATGCACTCTCGGAACAAGACACTGCATCCTCCTGTGGCTCCCGGGTTCTGACATGGCCTGGACCAGCTGCCCCTCACCCTCTGCCCTCACCCTCTGCCCCCTCACCCCCGCCCCTCACCCCTGCCCCTCACCCCTCCGCTCCTCACCCCCAGCCCCTCACCCCTCCACCTCTTACCTCTCCAGCCTCACCCTCCACCCTCACCCTCCGCCCTCACCGTCTGCCTCACTGTCTAGCCCCCACCCTCCACCCTCACTCCCCTGCCCCTACTGCTCTGCCTCACCCCCACCTCACCCCTTCACCTCCGCCTCCTCACCCTCCGCTCACCTCCAGTCCTCACCCTCCGCCCCCCACCTCTGCCTCTCACCCCTCCGCCCCCTTATCCTCAGCCCCTCACCCTCTGCTCCTCACCTCCTGCCTCTCGCTCCTCCAGCCCTCAATTTTTCCCTTCACCTCACCTCTTCACTCTGCTCCCCCCACCCGTCCGCCTCTCTCACCCGTCTACCCCCCATCCTCTGCCTCTCATGGCTCCGCCTCACCCTCCGCCCTCACTCCTCCGCTGCTCACTCCTCTGCCTCCCACTGCCTGCCCTCACCCTCCGCCCCTCACCACTTGGCCCAAACACCTGTCTCAGGGTCTGAGCACCAGCTGTTCCCCGCTTGCCCAGATTACGCTCTTCTTTCTCATCTCCTAGGCTCCTCACTGCCATGGGTCTCTGCTGACAGATCTCCTCAGGCCTTCCCTGACCACCTCCTGGGTGATGGGCACTCTGCCCCGACCTCTTCTAGTTTCTTGTCCCCTGGGACGCGCCCGTTTGTGAGTCATCATCTCGGCCGCCTCGGCGGCCAGCTCTGCAAGGTCAGTCCTGCATTTGTGAGGGCTTACTAAGTGGGGGTGCGTGAAGTGGGGGGCACACAGGCCTCCTGCGATCCATGGAGACTTGGTGGGGTGCTAGGGACAGGAGGGGGCAGCCCTTAGGGTCTGGAAGCCCTACCTGAACTCTTGGATGTTCTTCTCACACACCCGGATGAAAAGCACGATGGGGTAGATGTTGGACTTGATCAAGTCTCTCTGTGCAGCGATCCAGCCTCCAGCAGGCAGTGCTTGTTCTGTGGGCACAGCGGCTTCGGGTCAAAGCAGCAGCCTGCCCACCTCTCGCTCCTGGGAAGGTGCCTGCAGCAGGGCCTGATGCAGGGTTGGGGCTCATAGCCGGGTGGGAGCCCTGGAAAGCCATTTGCCACTGGACCCAGGAGATGAGACCTCCCAGGAGTCTGACACTCCAGGACTCTGCTGACCACAGTGATGTTCATGGGCAGAGATGAGGCCTCGGCGGGGTGAACCAGGTGGCATGAATGAGTTTGAATGAAACACCTGCTACCAACCGGGTGTGGTGGCTCACGCCTGTAATCCCGGCACTTTGGGAGGCCGAGGTGGGCTGATCACTTGGGGTCAGGAGTTCGAGACCAGCGTGGCCAACACGGCAAAACCCTGTCTCTACTAAAAGTACAAAAATTAGCTGAGTGTGGTGGCAGGTGCCTGTAATCCCAGCTACTCGGGAGGTTGAGGCAGGAGAATCGCTTGAACCCAGAAGGTGGAGGTTGCAGTGAGTCAAGATGGTGCCACTGCACTCCAGCCTGGCTGACAGAGCGAGACACCAACCACTCAAACACACACACACACACACTGCAAAACACCCGCTACCCTAGCCTGCCTTCCATTAAGAGAGAGTAGGGAACACATGAAGGGTGAGTCAGCTAGGCCGGCAGGTCCTGTGAGTACCAAAAGGGTTTCTCAACCATGAGCTCATCATTTTGAGAAAGGATAATCTCTGCTTTGCTGAAGGCATCACCTAAAAAAAAATTCCCACCAAATGTTGGCTGGGCGTAGTGGCTCATGCCAGCAATCCCAGCACTTTGGGAGGTGGGAGGATTGCTTGACGCTAGGAGTTCGAGACCAGCCTGGGCAATATAACAAGACCCTATCTCTAAAAAAATTAGAAGAATCATTAGCTGGGCATGGTGGTGCATAACCATAGTCCCAGCTACTCGGGAGGCAGAGGCGGGAGGGTTGCTTGAGCTTCACGGCGTGGCTGCAGTAAGCCGGGATCGCCCTGCACTCCAGCTCTGGCAACAGCGAGACCCAGTCTCTAAATAAATAAATAAACATCAAACTTTGCATTGGCATAGAACATAAACACAGCATTCTAAGTGTGCAGCTCAGTGAATTTCACAAACTGAACACAGCCTGAACCAGCACCCGGTTCAAAGTGGGAATGTCCCACCCTGCTCAGGGTCCCTGTCTCCTGCAGCCGCTGCTCCTCTCGTGAGCAGGGCCATGGCCTACATTTCTAGCTTCTCTGAGGCACAGATCTGCTGACGGCTTCTTCTTTTTCAGCTAAAACAATCTCGCTCCAACCTGTCCGTTTACTTTCTATCCGCTCCAGCTGTCAGAATTTCCTAAAGCTGTGGCCCAGACTTTAAAAAAAAAAAACCAAAAACACCACCATCTGCTCTTGCCATCCCCAAGGTCAGCTGGCCTCCACCACAGAGCCAGCCCCGGCAGCTGGGAGCCTCCACTGGTGCAGACCGAGAGCTCCGCCACGAGCCAGGCCCTCGGCCCCTCCACTGCTGTGGACAGAAGCCTTTCCTTCATCCAGTGCTGGGACGAGGAGGAGTCAATGTGCTTAGGTCCCGTTTTCTGGCTCCAAAGACCCACATTGCACAGACAACCTTTTCGCATCGTTGCCAACAACCTCGTGATGTCCTGTTTTCCCCTCGCTTGGCTTAATGCAATCCCTGTCACCTTCATCGCTCATCCTGTTCGCCTCTGATGAGCTGGTTCTCTATCTCTGGCCCTTGTTGTCACAACCAGACACACACGCCCCTAAATAACGCGAACACACACCAGCTCCAGGAAGCGATCACAACATTGTGAAAGCAGCTCCAAAACAAAACTCACGGCCGGAGCTCAGGGGACAAGGGCGCAGACAGTGATTAACACGGGGCAGGCTGCTGGGACAAGGGGAAAAGGAGAGGTCTGGCTAATGGGAGTGTGAAAGCAACTCTTCATCCCACTCCTTGTCCCTGGCCCAGGTGGCCTCATGAGGATCATCATCACAGAGATCCCGGCCCGTCCAACCTCCCAGCCCCCGCCCCTCACCTTCGCGCGACACAGCTTCAATGTTGGCAGGGGCGATGCATTCGAATGGTGAGTTGGGGTTCTTCTCTCTGGAGTAGATGATGGTCTCCTCGTCTTCTGCCTTCTGAGGAACTCATCTCTTGTGACGATATATCTGCAGAGAGAGAGGGGCCAGTCCTGAGGGCAGCACCAGGTGGCCTTGGGTTGACCATCCCACCCAGGCCCTGCCTGCCACCTTCTGGGCTCTACAGAACTCGATGTCCACCCCTTCCAGCCATGTTTAAAAATGAATCTTATCTCCTTCTACTAGACGTAAGCCTCTTGAGGCAGGGCTAAGGTTAACTCTTCATACTCCCATGGCAGCCCATGGAGCAGGTGCATGGCAAATACTCGTGGTTTGGCTTCTCAGCACATCACTGGACAAAGCAGTTCAGGCACTGTGGTGCAAGGCTGATCACCAGTCTAACAAATCTCCTGTTCCACCCACCATCCACCAGCATTCACTTATCCATCCATCCATCCACCCACCCACCCATCCACCCGTCTACCGACCCCTTACACACCCACCCATCCGTCCACCCACCCATCCAATTTATCTTATCTGCTCTACTCTATATATCTACTTATCGATTTATTCATCTATCTATCTATCCCATCCATCCATCGACCCACCCACCTATCCATCTATCCACCCATCCTTCCATCCACATCCATATCCACCCACCCACCCACCCATCTACTGACCCCTTTACACACCCACCCATCCGTCCACCCACTCCATCCACTTATTCATCCATCCATCCATCCATCTATCCATTCATCGACTCACCCACTTCATTCATCTATTTCTATCTTATCCATCTTATCCATCCATCTTATCCATCCATCTATCTACCTACTCTACCTACCTACCTATCTACCTACCTATCTCTCATCCATCCACCCACCTACCCACCCACCCATCCACCCACCCATCCTTCCATCCACCCATCCACCCATCCACCCACCCATCCATCCACCCACCCACCACCCACCCGCCTACCGACTCCTTACACACCCACTCCATCCACCCACTCCACCCATCCACTTATCCATCCATCCATCCATTCACCATCCATCTGTTCATCTACTTACCTACCTACTTCATTCATCTATCCATCTACCTATTTCTTTTCATTCATCTTACCTACCTACCTATTTATTTATAAATTCCATTCACTTCATTTAGTTACTTCATTCATTTCCATTCATCTATCTATTTATCCACCTATCCAGGGGGAGGAGGGTGATGGAGAGGGAGGAGGAGGGAAGAAGAGGGAGGGAAGGAGAGGAGGGGATGAGAAGAAGAAAGGAGGGAGGAAGAGGGAAGGGAGGGAAGTGAGGAGGGGGGAGGAGGAGTGAGAAGGTGGAGGAGGGAGAAGGGAGAGGAAGGAAAGGAAAGAGGGAAGAAGGGGAAAAGGGAGGAGGGAGGAGGGAAGAGAAGAGGGTCGCCCCCTGTCCGTGGTTCTATGGGGCTCCCCAGGTGGCCGTGGCTCGCCGATCACCTGACTTGCAGATGGTGAACTCCATGGCACTCCTCCCGAGCTGGAGCAGCCTCTGAACCAGCCTTGGCCAGCACGGTGGGTGTGAAGAGCACGGAGCGGCGGCGCCGCAGTAGAAGGCGCGCAGAGCCAGGCTGGGTAGGGGATGAGGCTGAGGTTCTTGCCCAGCTCGGCTTCTCGGGGTCCAGCTCTGGCAGGGGCAGGAGAGGGTGGTGGTCAGAGCCCTGGGGCTCCGCCAAGACCTTCCAGAGGATGGGGCCCCCTGGGCTGGGTCCTGGGGCCACTGTCAGTGTGGAGGCTTGGCTGCTGCCCTGGGCACGAATGTCTGAGGTTACCTTGGGCTGGCACTGCTTGGGCTCGTGTGCCGGGAGGGAGGTGTGGTGGGGGCAGAGGTGTGACAAATGCAGGAACCTTGGCTGAGCTCTGGAGGGAAAGTTTGCCTTGGCAGATGATCAAGGAGGGCTTCTTGGAGGAAGGCATGGATCGGGCACACTCCAGCGGAGGGGAGTGGGCGAGGGCAAGGAGCAAGTGCCGGCGGGCACCCATGAGACAATTGCACCAGCGGGCAAGGCCTTGGGTGTCTCCCCAGGAGCACTGGGAGGGAGAACTTGGCCTCAGTTCTGCCTTCTCAGTCCCTTTCTGGCTGGGTGGGGAGCCGTGCAGAAGCCCGGGTTCTGATGAAACCACCCCAGGCACCCAGAGGAAACGTAGTTCCTGCAAACAGGCAGCCCGTCCCCTTGTCCCTGTGCCTTTCTTGTCCCCGGCCTGGCCACCCCAACTCTCCAGTGGCCAGCTTTGTGGAGCTGCCCAGGGCGTCCTCTGAGATCCAGCCAGGGCTGTGGCCTCCCTTTCCCTGAGCAGGGCTGTAGCCAGGGCCAGGGGTGGGGGACAGGGACTGAGCCCTCGCCGGGTTGATAAATGACAAGAGACACTCAGTGGGTAGAGAAATCAATAAAACGAACACTTCACAGCAAACAGCCCCACTAACATGGGTACCCGGGCGCTACAAACCAGCTGCCAACGAGAGGCGTTATCCGGTGAGCTTGGCGGGACGTCACCCCGAGGCAGCGTGGTCCTCACAGCCAGGCCAGGCTTCTACCCCTTTTTTAATTTATTTTTGTCTTTATTTTTATTTTTAGAGCTAGGGGTCTTGCTGTATGGACTAGGCCAGGAGGATTGCAGTGGTGTGATCTGGGTTCACTGCAGCCTCAACCTCCTGCTCAAGCATCTCCCACCTCAGCCTCCCAAGTAGCTGGGACTATAGACACGTGATACCATGCCTAAGTATTTATTTACATCTTTTAAGATTTATTTTTAATGTTTTATGTTTTTATTATTAATGTTTTTATATATTTTACAGTTATATTTTTTGTAGAGATGGGGGGTCTTACTATGTTGCCCAGGTTGGATCTTGAACTCCTGGCCGCAGTTTCGATCCTCCTGCCTTGGCCTCCCAAAGCACTGCGATTACAGGCATGAGCCACCTATGTCCTCCCTCCTCTCCATTTTGAGGACTTTCTAGGCCCTCACTAGGACCAATGTGCCCCCAGGTGAGGGTGAGGCATGTATGACTGTGGCCGGGAGTGGTGGGAGGGGCCAGGCGCTCCCCACGTACCTTCCTGCTTCTCAGTCAAGAGCTTGGTGGCGTCCAGCGAGGACCGGGCCAGCTCCCGAGCGGCCTCGCGAGATGATGCGGACCCTCTCGTTGCTGTTCATTCGCTTATACTTGTTCTCGGACCTGCTGACGAACTGGAGGAGCAGAGGGAGTGGCTGGGGAGGACTCTTTTGCTTCCACTTCTAAACGGACAGGGCGCTGCCCTCAACTAGCCAAAGTCAGACCTTTGTTCACATCCCTCCTCTGCCCGGGGTCTTCTGGGCCAGTCATTTCTATAAAAACAGGAGACTTCAGCAGCAGCGACTGAGCCCTTTAGCCACTGGAGAGATGTCCTGAGTAGGTAAATGAATGAATCAGTGACCACAGTCTTCCCCAGCCGGATGAGTCTCAGGTCAAGCCCAACAGCGTCCCGGTGGGAGCCTCAGGTGCAGCTCTGCAGGCGCTGTGGGATCTGGAGCGCCCAGCCGGTGAAGACCCCGGGCTGGAACCCCTGTGGGCAGGGACTGCCCTGCTGGGCATGCTGACACAGCCACTCTCTGACACTGTGCTCACCATGCCTTTCTGCCTCGGTATCCCCAAGTTTAATGGGGGGGCACCCACTTTTTTCTACAGTTCACAGAGTTGAGTCCTGGAAGGCAGAAACAGATGCCCCGGCAATGGGCACAGAAGCAGGTTCACACCATATTCTATAGGCTACTTTGAGTCTTCCCACCCTCTTCCTTCTGCAGGAAGGAAACACATGGTATCTGGGATGTCAGCTGTCTCTCTGTTACAACTGTATTTCAGGGCTCTGGATGAGACTCCCAAGGTTTCACTATTTTTTTTTTTTTTTTTTCTTGAGATGGGAGTCTCGCACTCCGCCCAGGCTGGAGTACACAGTGGTGCGACCTTGGCTTACTGCACCTCCGTCTCCCGGGTTCAGCCATTCTTCTCTTTTAGCCTCCTGAGTAGCTGGGATTACAGGCACCCGCCACTGCACCCGGCTACTTTTTGTATTTTTAGTAGAGACGGGGTTTTGCCGTGTTAGTCAGGCTGGTCTCGACTTCCTGACTTGCGATCCACCCGCCCAACCTCCCAAAGTGTTGGGGTTACAGGCGTGAGCCACCGCGCCTGGCCCCAAGGTTCCACTCTTGCATGACACGCGGGTGTAAAAATGCGTCATCTCAAATGGTCCTGCCCTTGTAAACCCCTCAGACTTGGCCAGGTTCCTTCCCCACCCGGGTGGCTCTCTGACACTTGCTTGTGTCTTCCCTGATTTTAGGTCACATTGCTCATACTTTCCCTGGCTTCCCTGTTCAAACATCAAGATGGAGCAGCGGAACGCAACACTGTCTCCACTGGGGTCTAATGAGTGAGGGAGCTACACAGGAACACGCTCATGGGGCCACATTTTCATATTACCGCTTTGGTTTTCGCTCCACGGGCGATAAAAGAAACGATCCCAAAGAGTGTTTCTGCATTTATGAGAAACCATTTCTGAAGATATCACAAACAATGCTAGTCAATGTTCTTTCTATAATGATCCATGCCAAAAAAAAAAAAAAAAAAAAAAACTCCTTTAGTATTAAGTAGAAAGGAAAAGTCCTTTCTGGTCCTGATTACAAAATTTCTAGACAGATAAGATTGAAAGAATCTGCTGGGTTCTTTTTCCTGGCTGCCAGGATGCTCAGATAAGTTGAATGCTCGATTAATGAGGACCTAAACTGGCCTAGATATTTAGGATGTTTGTTTTTCATCTCCTGATACACTGCTTCTGATCTTTCTATTAGTATCTGAACAGCTAACTTCAGCTTCTTTTTTCAATTACAAGATTCCTCAATCTTTTATGGAAGTGGATTTGCTTCCCCACAGGCACGGAGACTGTCTACCAACTCTGTCACTGAGAGGATAAAATGGGACAGGAGATGTGGGAGGCACTAGAAGAGATGCAAGCGGCATAAACACAAAGCACGATGATTTTGATTCCGGTGTCTTTCTCAGTGGGGAGGGCACGGCCACAGCAGAATATGATTGGAAAAGTCGGTAGGCACTCCGGAGAGCCTTACTCTGAAGGAGCTGGCCAAAAAGGAAGCTTGCTCGGGAGAGACGGGACTGACCTGGGGGTCGCTTAAGAAAGCGCTTCTTCCGGCTGCAGGGTGTTCTGAAATGAATTTATCCATCAGTCAGGCCCTGCTGGGCTTGGCAGGAGGCAAGAACACAATGATGTTGGTGAGAATTGGAGACCTGTCCTCAAGTACCCTCCGTGCTAAAGCTTCCTTAGGGAAATCAAAAGCCTGCAGGGAAGGGGCGGGGGCAGGCGGGGTAGGGGAGAGAAGTCCTGGAGACTTGGGAGAGGTGATTCGTCAACAGAGACCACGGATGGTAGAGCAGCGCTCCGTAGTCCAGCTCGAGCCAGACATCTAGGCTCACCTTTTTTTTTTTTTTTTGAGAGGGAGTCTCGCTCTGTCACCAGGCTGGAGTTCAGTGGCGTGATCTCTGCTCACTGCAACCTCCACCTCCCAGGTTCAAGCGATTCTCCTGCCTCAGCCCCCTGAGTAGCTGGGATTACAAGCACCACCATACCCAGCTGTTCTTGTATTTTTAGTAGAGATGGGTTTCACCATGTTGGCAAGGATGGCCTTGATCTCTGACCTCATGATCCTCCCACCTCTGCCTCCCACTAGGATTTAGGCGTGAGCCACTGCGCCCCAGCTCTGGGTTTTTGTTTTGAGACAGGGTCTTGCTCTGCCCCAGGCTGGAGTGCAGTGGCATGATCTCGGCTCACTGCAACCTCTGCCTCCCAGGTTCAAGCGATTCTCCCTGCCTCAGCCTCCCGAGTAGCTGGGATTAGAGGCTTCATCACCAGGCCTGGCCATTTTTTTGTATTTTTAGTAGAGAGAAAGTTTCACCATGTTGGCCTGGCTGGTCTCGAACTCCTGACCTCAAGTGATCTGCCCACCTTGGTCTCCCAAAGTGCTGGGATTACAGGCATGAGCCACTGTGCCTGGCCAGATGACCAACCCTTGTCCTGGAAAGTCAGGACCTGCGGGAGGGTATGAGAGACGGGTCTCTTTCTACAGAGAGCATCTCTGGCCCCAAGGAACTAAGTCCTCAGAATTCATCATCTCCAATACGGATGGATTGCATTTGTTACTGCCTCAAAAAAGACCCGGGAGTTAGGTTTGAAGCTGGCGAGGTCCCTGCCCTGCTACTTCCCACAGGGTGCTTGGGCAGACTGGCCCGCAGTGCCCGGCAGGGTGTGGTGGGTGCCGCCCACCTCCCGGCTGCCCTGGCATCAGGCGCTGCAGTTTGACCAGGAGGAGCTGCTGGGCGCCTATGGAGCGAAGAGAGGAGCTTCAGGGCTGAAATTCAAGGGTCAAGCACTGGAAGAAGCAGCACCGCACCGGCATGGGTGGGGTGCGTGTCTGACTCCTAAGATAGGGATGGCCTTGTGGCTGTGTGTGTTTCTGAGCCCAAGGGCTACCTGGGGTGAAGATGTGCCTCTGTATCTGTGTTTGGATCCCACCTCCAGCACTGGCTCGCTGTGGGGCTGCAGCAGTGACTGAACCTCTGAGCCACCGTCTCCTCCTCTGTCAATCTGGTGTGATGATGCTTTCCTTGGAGGACTGGCCTGAGGTGCGTTGTCATGGTCTTACAGATGTTGTGGTATGGATGTGTAGTGTTACAGTCTTATAGATGCTTCCGGTGCTCAAGCGTGTGCCTTTGGACACACTACGTGGTGCTCAGTCCGGGGCTAGCGCTGTTATAATGACAACGTTGTTATTGGGATGTGGCAGGAAAAGAAATATCACCCTGCAGTGAGAGCATAGAATTGAGTGCCAAGTGGTCTGGTCACCACCAGATGGAAGAGGGTTCACAGATTCCCAGTGAAGTTCGAGAGAAACATCCTGAGGAGGCAGGAAGTCCTGGAGGAGGAGGGCCTGGGGGACCTCGCTGTGAAACGGAAAGCAGTAGACTTCTTTGGCCTGGGCTTCTATCAGCCCTCTGCTGATGTTCATGGCATCCTGCCTGGTCCTCCACAGACTCAGGGAAACGGGAGGCCTCGCCCTGGTTCTGGCCTCACCGGCTGTAGTTGGGAATGGTGCCCATGTCCAGTCAAATCTGTGAAAGGGTCGACGCGCACACAGCCACGTGCCTTTCCTGGTACATGGTGTCACGGACGGCACAACATCGGCCACACTTCAGGGACATGGTGCAGGCACCAGCTGGCTGAGATGTTCAGGTTTAGCCGATGCAGAATGAGTCCCCGACGATCAGGCCATCCTCCATGTCCTTGCACAGCTTCCGGTACCCTGCGAGGGAAAGATGCACCAGCTGTCTATCGGTATGGGGTCCCCCGACCATCAGAGCAGCCTCAGAGCAGCTTCCCCACCACTAACTTAAAGCTTATAGCTAGGGAAAGTTCTACCTCCCCAGTGAAGGGTAGCCATGTTGTTTACCAGTTTCCCTTTTTGTCTTGGCTGCCAGGAAGCCCAGAGCTGAAAGCCACAAGTTGCAATGATCACCTTTAATAGCATTCCTGCGACACTCTTCATATTTCCCCACCGTTATAGGGCACTTGTTTGTTTTTTATTTGTTTCATTGCTGCAATAACCAATCATATAGCATAAATTAAGTACTCATCTCAATGAATTTCCACAAATATATATGCAGGGGCAGCAAACAACCAGAGCCCTCTCTGTCAGTACCTTTCCCAAGGGGAACCATCATCCTAACTTATGTTGCTATAAATAGGTTGAATCTCACTTCATATAAGTGAACCAAACAGCATATGTTCTCTTCACTTCCAGCTTCCACTGTTCAACATTACGCCTGTGAGATTTGTCTGTGATGCTGCAATGTAGCTGGAGGGGGCTCTTTTTCACTGGTGTATAGTATTCCATGGTATGTGGATGATTCATTCTCCCATGTGCAATCTGCATTGTCTGCAGTTTTAAGGCTATTGTGAACAACTTGCTAAGAGTTATTCATATACACTGCTGTCTGTGGATATATGTGCCCATTTCTCTTGGGTATATACACAGAAGTAAATTACTTGGTCATAGAATATCTATCTATTCATCCATCTATTATCTATCTACCTATTATCTGTCTGTCTATGGAGATGTGTGCCCATTTCTCTTGGGTACATACACAGCAGTGGAATTACTTGGTCATAGAATATCTATCTACCTATCATCTATCTATCTATCTATCATCTATCTAACTCATCTATTATCTATCTACCTACCTATCATCTATCAATCATTCATCTATCAGTCAATCAATCATCTATCTGTGGATATGTGTGCTCATTTCTCTTGGGTATATACACAGAAGTGGAATTACTTGGTCATAGAATATCTATCTATCTATCTATCTATGAATCAATCAATCAATCAATCAATCATCTATCTACTTATCCATCCATCATCCATCTACGCATCTCATTATCTAACATCTATCATTCATCTATCTAACATCTATCTATCTATCTATCATCCATTTATCCATCCATCATCCATTTACGTATCCATTATCTAACATCTATCATCTATCTAACATCTATCTATCTATCTTCTATCAATCAATCAATCATCTATCTACTTATCCATCCATCATCCATCATAATCCATTATCTAACATCTATCATCTATCTATCTATCTATCTATCTATCTATCTATCTATCTATCTATCTTCTATCAATCATCTATCTACTTATCCATCCATCATCCATCTACATATCCATTATCTAACATCTATCATTTATCTATCTATCTATCTATCTATCTATCTATCTATCTTCTATCTGTCAATCAATCATCTATCTATCTTTAGAAGACACTGCCAAAATGTTTCCCAAAAGAGACCATGGCACATGTCGTTTGAATCTTATTTAAATGTCATCAGCCTCCTAAGCAAAGTTTTTTGCAAATACTTCAGAGGGAGCGGCATAAACCATGAACATGATAAACGCAGCAAATCCCTGCCATGATATAAAACCATAATAGAACTCCCCAAATCAGCCTCACATGCTGAGGGCTGCATAACACAGGAGCTAAAATGGTTCTAATAACCAGATATTGTCAAATGTCCACGCCCACATCTCCAGGGCCATGCCATCCAGCTGGGATTAACCGATGAATGTTCCCTGCCTGCTGTGCATGGAGAAATAGGGATTCCTGTCAGGTCTGTCCGGGGATCCTGGCTTTGTCCAGCACATCTCAGAATCCTGCCCATCCACTTGGCCAGGGGCCATTGTGATCGCGTTCGAGCCTCTCTGCCTCCTGAAAACAGAACCTGTACACAGGACTTCGCCGGAGTGAACTTTTCCCCTAGAATTCCAGACTTGCAGGGCTGTGCTGCTACACAACTCTGGGTTGGGGGTCGGGGTCAGGGGTCAGAGGTCGGGGGTTGGGGTCAGGGTTGGGGGTCGGTGGCGCTGCTCACATCATATTCTGTGCCCACCTGATTTTCTGGGTTGGGCTGGAGATCAGGTGCAGGACTGGGGAGAGGCCTGCCCTGCATGTAGGGATAAAGCATCGTTATTATCTTTGCACGGGTAGGGCACTGCCGGGAAGGAGCTCGAGCAGGCGGCTCTGGAGAGCTAGATAGAGAGAAACTGGCTATTTATGCTCTGCTGAAACATTCAGCGAGCTCCTGGCGGTTAAAAATAAGATCCAGCTGCAGAGACACCCATGTAGAAACTCAGAGGTGAGAACGAGAACTCAGACTCTGCCTGAGCAGAAAACAAAGCTCAGGAGCTCACCGCCTGCAGAGCCCTAGCTTGTTATTACATCCCATCTGTGCTGGATGTTGGCCCCAGAAAAGGCACCATACTCAGCTGCAGCCGGGAGGCCAGAACCAGGGCGGGGCCTCCGTTTCCTGAGCCTATGAAGGGCGAGTCGTCCGCTCCCTGGAGTTGGGGGATCTCAGAGCAAGAATCCTGAGTCGCGGGATGTGGTTCGGTGGTCTCGGTCCTGGGTAGAGAAATCTCTGGGCCCCCTGACCAGCAGTGCCACAGAATACGATGTGAACAGCGCCCCCAGGGCTGTGCAGCAGCACTGTCCTGCAGTCTGGAATTCCAGGGGAAGAAAGTTCACTCCAGTAGGGTCCTGTTTGTAGGTTCTGTTCTCGTGAGGGCTAGAGAGCCCAGGTAGCCACGCTGTGGCCCCTGGCCTGGTGGGTAGAGCAGGCTTCGAGATATGCTGAACAAAGCCAGGAATCCCCAGCAGACCTGGACAGGGAACCTCTGTTTCTCCATGCCCAGTCCGTGGGGAGACTGACCCCAGAGCCGTTGCCTGTGTACATCAGACAGGAAGCTCAAGAGAGGAAGCACCTCACTTGCCAGGGAGAGAGGAGGGCTGAGCTGGGCCAGCCAGGCTCCAACAGGGGTGCCTGAGCTCGGGGATGCTGCAGGGTCCACTGTGACCTGGCGGGCAGCCTGAGTCACCCGGCAGCAGGCAGACATGTCCAAAGAGCTGGCGTGGGAGACAGCAAAGCTCTGCTCACAGCCGCCGCCATCCCTGTGTGCTTGTCAGATTCCGGGCTCCCTGAGCCTCGTGACACTGCCAGGAAGTGCCCATGCCTTCCAATGAACAGAAGAGCAAGCGGAGGCTCAGGACAGCGGTGGCCACGGTCCAGGCTCGTGAGACTTGCCTCCCTGGCCAAGGGTCGCCCCAGACGGCGGAGGGAAGTCTCACCTTCGTGGTTGATCTTTGTAGTGCAGCGTGACGGGGCCGCTGCACCTCTGGATGGTCCAGTGGGCTTCCTCTTGGTATGTCTAAAGGACGCTCTGCCTCTCGCCTCGGATGCAGCCTTCTAGCTGGAGAGAAGAGACAGCGTTTGTCTCCCCGCTCCACAGGCAGCAGAGACTCAGGGCAAGGCCGCCTTCTGTGTATTACTGGGAAGAACCATCTCTCCCCGAACAAAGACTAGCTCAGTGCCAACAGGGGGAAAAAGCATCTTGTTTCAGGGGTGCACTCTGCCTCCTGCCTGCACCCTGGGAGCTTGCAGGAGCTGGTGGCTGGACACAGACTGCAGAAGCACAGGCGGGGAACTGGGGAGAGAACGGCCCCATGATGCGGATGGTCTGACCACCTTCCAGCTCCCTCCTGCCCGGGATCTGTGGCTGAATGCAAGGCCTAGGCCCTAAATGTCATGCACTGACACTATGGCTGCAGCCACCTCCCCTGCAAGCCGCTAGCCCTCACCAGCAGCAGCTGGGTGGCGCCGCGAGGCCGCCGGCCAGGAGCCGGGCTTGACCGAGTGCACGGCTCCTCGCGCGCTGCCCCCAGCAGGTGAGCTGGGAGGTGAGGCTGTCGCCGCTCAACGCCGTGTGCTGCAATTGAGGCCCTGCCCCGCACGCGTTCCCCACGGAGGTACCGGGCTAGTCGGAAGGGTCTGCAGCAGGAAACAGAATGGCAGCTAGGCAGCTGGGCTGAAAAGAGACAAGCCCTACTGGGACACACCGGGGGTTGGTGGCGGGTGCTGGGACCCCGGTGGCATGGCCTCCTGTGGTCACTAGCACCTCCCTGGGTGTCCTGGCTCTGGAGAATGGCCCTTAATGGCTAAGGGAAGCGAGAGCCACAAGCCGGCTCCTGCTTGAGAGGCTGCAGACGAGGAGGGAGCTGGAGGCGCCCTCCCTGGGCCTGCAGGGGCTGTACTGGGACTGGCAAGGGCCATGTTGGGAGGGGGCCCTCGAGCACGGCCCACCAGGCTCCAATGTGTCATGGACGGGGCCTGCTGGGTATCTGGGTCCCACTTGCTCTGCCACGCTGCGTGGCTCTGGGGAAGCCCTTCCCTCTGTGGGCCTCGGCTTCTGCGCCCTGGACACTTGGGAGGTCAGAGGAAGTCATTTCACTTTTTTTTGAGACAGGATCTCGCTCTGTCGCCCAGGCTGGAGTGCAGTGGTACAATCATAGCCATTGCAGCCTCAACCTCCAGGCTCAAGTGATCCTCCTGCCTCAGCCTCCTGAGTAGTTGACACTACAGGTGTGTGCCACCATGCCTGGCTAATGTTTAAATTATTTTGTAGAGATGGGGTCTTGCATGTTGCCCAGGCTGGTCTGGAACTCCTGGGCTCAAGCAATCCTCCCGCCTTGGCCTCCCAAAGTGCTGGGATTGTAGGTGTGAGCAACGCACCTGGCCAGGAAGTGATTTCTGACTCGGGAATGCTACGATTCTGGTGTGCTAGCTCTAGAGAACAAGGCCCACATGAATGGTCCTTGCAGGGAGTGAGGGGGTGAGGGGTTCTTATTTCACCTCAACTCCCGGCTTCCCCTTCACCAGGATACCTTCCAGAGAGAACTTCCTGAACATGAGGCTGACTCTGCTCCAGGTCGTAGGCATCCAGGCCCTTGGATTGGTGAGAGAGGAGGGAGGAGGAACGGAGAGGGTCCAAAGGAGAAGGAGCCAGACTGTCATCTGCAGAGGGACGAGGGTCCATCAGTACCGGGTGGCGGAGCTCCGCAGACAGCCGACCTGCTGGTGGCCCTGGCACTGGGGCAGGCTCGGAGCCTCTTGCCCTGCTCCTCCCGGGCAGCCTCTCGGGAGCGGTCTTTGAGGCCCCTGGCACAGAAGGCTGAGTTCCACATTGAATGTCTCCAACACAGACCTTCCTCAGCCTCCAGGAGCTTCCTCTTAGTGGGAAGCCTTATCAGGTATCTGGGTTTTTTTTTTTTTTTTTTTTTTTTTTTTTTTTTGAGACGAGTTCGCTTGTCGCCCAGGGCTGGGAGTGCAAATGGATCTCAGCTCACTGCAAGCTCCGCCTCCCGGGTTCACACCATTCTCCTGCCCCAGCCTCCCGAGTAGCTGGGACTACAGGCACCTGCCACCTCGCCTGGTTAGTTTTTTGTATTTTTTTAGTAGAGACGGGGTTTCACCATGTTAGCCAGATGGTCTCGATCTCCTGACCTCATGATCCACCCGTCTCGGCCTCCCAAAGTGCTGGTATTACAGGCTTGAGCCACTGCGCCCGGCCCAGGTATCTGGTTTTTAAGATTCCTTTTTTTTTTTTTTTTGATATCTGGAAAAGGGGGACTTCCCATTAGCAGTTGCTTGTTCTAGTTTTTTTTTTTTTTAGAGAGGGTCTTGCTCTGTTGCCCAGGCTGCAGTGCGATGATCATAGCTCACTGTAGTTTCAACCTCCTGGGCTCAAGTGATCCTCCTGCCTCAGCCTCTGGAGTAGCTGGGACTACAGGTGCACCACCATGTCCTGGATAATGAAACTTTTTTTTTTTTTTTTATAGAGATGGGGTCTCACTGTGCCACATCCAGGCTGGTTTTGAATTTCTGGCTCAAGCTATCCTCCTGTCTTGGCTTCCCAAGGAGCTGGGACGACATGTATGCCACCATGCCTGGCTAATTAATTTTTTTTTTTTTTTTTTTTTTTGTAGAGGAAGGGTCTTGCTAAAGTCACCTTCCTGGTCTCACAAGTGATCCACCTGCCTTGACCTCTCAAAGTGCTGGGATTACAGGCATGAGGCACCGGTGGCTGGCTTTATCTTGTTTTTGGAGTTGGGCCTCTAGATTTCATTCCTCTGGTACCTCAAGGCCTCACCATTGTCCATCAGCTTCCCGACACTCGTGCAGGGGCCTGAAGCAGGACGGAGGAGGGTCTGGCCCCACAGAGGCCCCTCCTTATCTTTCTCACCCCAGGTGGACCTGGAACACCTTCGGGAAAGACATCTGCTGCATAGAACTCCAGGCGGCTGGGATGGAGGGAACTGCAAACCTGCTTGGGACTGATAACAAAGGCCTCTGCAAAGAATTTTTCCTGACACTGCAAAATACTTTGGATGGTTGCCCGGATTCTCTCCTTTCAAAACTCTCTTTCAATTCTTCTCATTACCCAGCCTCTGATTAGGTGCTAACCTCTCTTAACACTCTGATAGCGCTGATGCTTCCATTAAAGATAACCACCATCTTTCGTTTATCGGTTGGCAGCCTTAGCTGGCAAAGGCTGGGGGAGCCCCAAGAGAGGGGGTTGGCAGGGCACACCAGGTGATTCTGAGCCACAGTCTCCCTGTTGCCAGCTCTGTCAGGCCAGGGATGCTGCCACCCTCCTCGGTGCTGGAGAGCTTGAAGGCGGTGATCCTGCAAGCCCGCCTCACCCTCCCTAGCCCCCATCCCGCCTCACCCCTCCCTACTTCTCCCCATCCCGCCTCGCCCTCCCTACTTCTCCCCATCCCACCTCGCCTCCCTACTTCTCCCATCCCGCCTCGCCCCTCCCTACTTCATCCCGCCTCACCTCCCTACTTCTCCCCATCCCGCCTTCACCCTCCCTACTTCTCCCCATCCCACCTTCACCCCCCCTACTTCTCCCATCCCACCTTGCCCCTCACTACTTCTCCCCCCTCCCGCCTCACCCTCCCTACTTCCCCACTCTGCCTCGCCTCCCTACTTCTCCCCACTCTGCTTTGCCCCTCCCTACTTCTCCCATCCCGCCTTCACACTCCCTACTTCTCCCCATCCCGCCACTCCTCCCTACTTCTCCTCATCCCGCCGCCCTCCCTACTTCTCCTCCCCATCCCGTCTCGGCCTCTCTACTTCTCCTGTCCCATCTCGGCCCCTACTTCTCCCCATCCCGCCTTCACCCTCCCTACTTCTCCCCATCCCGCCTCACCCCTCCCTACTTCTCCCCATCTCACCTTCACCCTCCCTACTTCTCCCCATCCCGCCTCGCCCCTCCCTACTTCTCCCCATCCTGCCTTCACCCTCCCTACTTCTTCCCATCCCGCCTTTACCTTCCTTACTTCTCCCCATCCCGCCTCACCCTCCGTACTTCTCTCCATCCCACCTCGCCCTCCCTACTTCCCCATCCCACCTCGGGGCCTCCTACTTCTCCCCATCCCGCCTTCACACTCCCTACTTCTCCTCATCCCGCCTCACCCCTCCCTACTTCTCCCCCATCCCGCCGCCTCCTCCCCATTTCTCCCCATCCCGCCTCTGCCTCCCTACTTCTCCCCATCCTGCCTTCACCTCCCTTGCATTCTCCTCATCCCGCCTTGCCCTCCCTACTTCTCCCATCCCGCCTTCACACCGCCTACTTCTCCCCATCCTGCCTTCACCCTCCCTACTTCTCCCCATCCCGCCTTCACCCTCCCTACTTCTCCCCATCCCGCCTCACCCCTCCCTACTTCTCCCCATCCCGCCTTCACCTCCCTATTTTCCCCATCCCGCCTTCACCTCCCTACTACTCCCCATCCTGCCTTGCTCCTTCCTACTACTCCCCATCCCGCCTTGCCCCTCCCTACTACTTCCCCATCCTGCCTTTGCCCCTCCAGCATCGGCCTGTTCCCTGGGGCCTTGCCCTCCAGTGTCGCCTCTCCCCACAGCCTTGCACCTGCAAGCTTCTGGCCTCTTCCCCTGGCCTTGTCCCTCCAATATCGGCCTCTCCATCTGCATTCTGTACTCTTTTTTGCACAGGCTGGTTAACAGCTCAATACATGAATTTCTTACAAGAACGCCCTGCTCCCAGCGCTCCTCCTCTGCCCTCCTGTTCCTTCCTGTCTCTGAGGCTCCTTTCTTTATCTATAAAATGAGGGTAACAATAGCATTTCTGAGAGCGGTTGTTGAGATGAAACTGGATCAGGTATGCAGGTCGAGCCCCTCCATGGTGCCTGGCTACAGTACGTGAGAGCTATGCTTTTTAAAAGCCCAGACTCAGCTCAAGCCCTCTGCACAACAGCTGGATGGGCCCCCATTACCTACAAGACAAAGAACAAGCTCACAGGGCACCCTTGCCATGGGCAAGGCCTCTGGGGACAGAGGCTTAGCTTCTGTGTTCAAGGGTGACTTCTGAGTCCATTCCACGTAGTAGGTCTTAAGGACTCCGCGACCCTCCACCTGTGACCCTCTGCGACTCCGCCCTACCCAGGACCCTCCCGGATCTGAGAGGCACGCACTGGCCCAGGTCTAAGGCGCCAAACCCGCCGCTGTCATTGTCTTCTTCGACTGTGCTGCAAGACACAAGGGAGGGCAGGGAAAGCATGCGTGTGAGTGTAGTGTGAGCAAGGGTAGGTGTGTAATACTGGCAGCAGGCAGGTGAGGAGAGGGAAGTCTGGAAGGTTCCGGGCTTGAGGGCCTTGCCTCTGAGGCAGTGTGGGCGGAGGAGTTTGGGACAGGAGGGGTGGAGGAGGCAGAGCCCCAGAAGGGTGGGTGGCCCAGAGGCCTTGGAGGTTGTGTCCTCCAGTGGGGGAGGAGGGAAGCCAGGGCAGGTGAACAGAGGTTCGACCGGCCCCACCTGCTGTTTACATCTCTCTCACTCTTCTCTGACATGCATGAGGGACAGAGATCCATCTGCCCTGTGTGATGGGTCTGGGAGCAGAGCGCCCTCAGCAGGGAGTGGATGGAGCAAGCTTGCTGTGCTCTGTTGGAGTTCTCAATTGTCTGCATGTGGTTTTTGCAATAGTGCTTCCAGGCGCAGGTGGCTTTGGTGCACACACCACATGTGGCTTCTGAAAGCTGCTTTCACACCTGCCCCGGCTGGCCAGAGGAGCCCCCACAACACAGCTGCTGGTGGAGGGGCTACGTGGGTCTGTTTTTTTATTTTTATTTAATTTTTGAGATGGAGTTTTCCTCCTGTCACCCAGGCTGGAGTGCAATGGTGCAACCTTGGCTCACTGCAACCTCTGCCTCCCAGGTTCAAGCGATTCTCTCGCCTCAGCCTCCCAGTAGCTAGGATTACAGTACCTGCCACCGTGCCCAGCTATTTTTATTTTTTGCTTTTAATTTTTAGTAGAGATAGGTTTTGCCATGTTGGACAGTCTGGTCTTGAACTCCTGACCTCAGGTGATCCACCACCTCAGCCTCCCAAAGTGTTGATATTACAGGTGTGAGCCACTGTGCCTGGCCTAAGCAGATCTTTGCTGCTGATCTCTGAGCCAATCAGGAAGGCCATGCTGAGAGGCCCAAACCAGGCCCCAGCAGACCCAGGGTGGATCCAGCCTCTCGGCCACGCGCTTGCTCTCACACTCTTCGGGAAACCGCCCAACAACCTCTGACTTTGTAGGTGACGTGCCAAATCCTGGCAGGCTGGAAACACCCATAGCGCAGGCATACTTCTACTGTACTTTCCTGTGAGGACACTAATGGTTTTCGAAGTAAGGAAGGTGGGAGAGGATTGCAGAAGCTATTCATGAGTTTCTTTCTTTTTTTTTTTTTTGAGATGGAGTCTCGCTTTGTCGCCCAGGCTGGAGTGCAGGGGCACGATCTTGGCTCACTGCACTCTACGTGCCGGGTTCAAGCGATTCTCCTGCCTCAGCCTCCCGAGTAGCTGGGACTACAGGCGCCTGCCACCATACCCAGCTAATTTTTTGTAATTTTAGTAGAGATGGAGTTTCACCATATTGGTTAGGCTGGTCTTGAACTCCTGACCTCAGGTGATCCACTCCGCTTGGCCTTGTAATCCCAAAGTGCTGGGATTACAGGTACGAGCCACCGCGCCCAGCCTTGAGTTTCTTATTCTTTGGCAGAAAATGCCAAGCCCTGGGGCCCCAGAACCTGATTTCTGGTCAGCATGGAGCCGTGGGCCGTGGGTTTCGGCCTCTGGATAGGCAGCTCGGTGAACCTGGGGCGCCACTCTCCTCCGAGCTCTTCTGCAGCCTCCTCATCTGTACGATGAGCAGCACCCCCTGCCTTTTTAGGTAGCTTTGAGGATGGCTGGGTCAGCAAGCATGGACTGGCCCGGAGACAGGGTAAGGAGGCTTGGCATGGTGGCATGGGGCAAACGCCCAGTCCTCCCTCACCTGCCACCCACCTACAGTGATGGGGCGCGTCCTCCTTGTAGCCTGACGATGGAGTCATTTCCCGGGGGCTCGGCGGTGATTGACATGATGCTGCTGCGGTTCGGGGCTGCTTCAGACAGACACACACACGTTACGGCGAGCAAATATGACACACGCAGGACTAAATTCAACACAAAATCTTGCCTGGCTCCTACCAGGCGTGGTGTGGGGGCAGCGAGCTGGCTCTCAGGGTGACTCCTTGGCTGGAGCAGGCCGTGCTCAGCCCATGCCGCAGCCGCCGAGCTGGGAACACATCTGCTTGCACATCTGCTCACAGGAGGACGAGGCAGGAGCTGGCTGACTGGGACTGGGGCACTGCCTGGCCACGGTGCACAGGCTGGAGCTCGAGGCCTGGCTGCACCTGCTGTGGGCACCTGCCCTAAACACGGTGAACAGTGTGGGCCTGGGCGTGGGGAAGGGCAGTGGTGCCTGGGACAGCACAGCCGGGAGGGTGACCTCGAGTTACTATGGTCTGCTTGGCCCCGCCGCACAGCCCTTTGCAGAGTTTGGATTTTGCTACTCAGGGCTGTTAATAGATAGGAATTGCTTACAGGCCTTGCTTTAGTTTGATTTGAAGTCGGTTTCCCACGCTTCCCGTGGCTCCTGTGTCTGCAACCCCAACCCAGCCCCGCCGTCCGATGGCGGCCATCTCAAGTGGTTGGGACTCCTGCCCGGCTCTGCCCGGGTAGGGTTCTGGGCTGGTGAGGGGGCCCTGAGCCCAGCCTCTGGTAGAGGCTCCAGCTGCTCCTGCTCTGTGCCCCGCTCACCGGCCTCCCAGGCTGCTGGAGTTGCCAGGGGCTGAGAAGTTGCAGCAGAATTTTCACCGCCTGTGCCATGCGTGACAGCCCCTGGAGGCCTCAGCTCCTCCTCCCACCAAGTGTTGAATTGGGAAAGGAGGTGGCAAGAAGGTGTAAATACATTTATGAGACTGTGAAACCTCTAAATAAACATAAGGGAGGCTGGGGCTGCAGCCGAGAGCACAAGAGCAGCCATTCAGAGGCTGGGACTTGGGGAGGAAGGTGGGTGGATGAGGCTGGGGCTCCTGGGATGGTGTTCTGCAACAGGAGAGGGTGTTGGGGGATGAACTGGGGCCCTGGATGGCACTCTGGAGGGAGAGGAGGGTGGTGGGGATAAGCTGGGGCCCTGGATGGCACTCTGGAGGGAGAGGAGGGTGGTGGGGACCAGCTGGGGCCCTGATGCATTCTGCAGGGGCAGTAGGTGGTGGGGACCAGTTGGGCCCCTGGATGGCATTCTGCAGTGGGAGAGGGCAGGGATGAGCTCTGAGGGAGAGTGGGTGGTGAGCATGAGCTGGGGACCTGGACAGTGTTCTGCAGGAAAGCACAACAGGGACCCGCAGGTCGGGCAGAGGCCGCAGCTCACCATCTTGGTGAAGGAGTTGGTGATGGGCAGAGATCCACAGTGAGCTGGGCCCTGCCTTCTTTCCTCGTGCCCTTGGCTGTCCTCATGGGAGACAAGGTGGGAGAGACAGAGAAAGGAGAAGGGAGCCAGGGAGGGTTTGAGGTGGGAGAGAGAGGGAAGGGAGAGAAAAGGCAGGGTAGGGCAAAAGTCAGAGCCCCATGGCCAATAGGCACGTAGGGCTGTTGGTGTCATCTCGCAAACCTCCTCTAACGAGGTGGGTCCGGGCTCCTTCTTCTCCCTTGGGGCTCCCTCCCCTCTCTGTGGCATCTGCTGGAGGAAGAGCCCTCAGAAACCTCTCTGTTTTTTATTAAGTTTTTATAGAGGTGGGCGTTCTGCTATGTTGCCCAGGTTGGTCTTTGAACTCGGCCTCAAGTTTCATCCTCCTGCCTTGGCCTCCCAAAGCGCTGGTATCCCAGGCATAAAATTATCTCTTCTTTTCCCGTCTCCCCACCACAGTAGGCTCCTGGCGGGGGGTCTCGTTTGCTGGGTCATATCCCAGCGCTCCCAGCGAGGCTCACCCCTGGGCAGCCTGGGTCAAAGCTGACAATGCCATGTGTCTCTGAGGACTTGTGTGGGGTCCCTGGCTGGCATTTTCTGTGAACAATGGACAACTGGGGCCTGAGTCTTCCCCTGGGTCCAATTCCCTCTCTCTGCCATCACCATGACTGCCTCCTCCCCTTGACAAGCAGGGCTGGCTGATGGGGATGAGGACAGACTGGGGGCCAAGTCTGTGGAAACCTCTCTACATAAACATAAGGGAGGCTGGGGCTGCAGCCCAAAGGCTGGGACTTGGGGAGGAAGGTGAGGTGGGTCGGGGCTGGTGGGGTGGACGAGGCTGGGGCCCCAGGACGGTGGTCCACAGCAGGAGAGGGTGTTGGGGGATGAGCTGGGGCCCCGGTTGGCACTCTTAGAGGAGAGAGGGTGAAGCCTCCCTTGATGTCCTGTCCCAACCCCTGGCTCTGCTTCAGGTTGCCTGGGACCATGTGCCCGTCCTCTCAGCCCTCGTCTGACGGCTTTGCTGTCTGTGTCCCCTCCTTGCTCCCAATTCTTGCTGTGTGTGCCCGTGTTGTGTGCACAGACAGATATACGTACATGCACCCCCATCAGCGGATGTCTTGTAGGAGGAACCACAGTTGTCCTTCCCTGGGCCCCTAGCACTGGCACTGGGCAGCTCAAGGTCTGATGAGGAGCGAAGAAGCCCCATGGCGACATCCTGTCCCTTCCCTTTGGTGCACCCCCTTTCTCTGCTTCCCTGCAGGCCCCCAGGCCCTTTGCACCTCCCTTCTGATAAAGAAGGCTGTTGAGACACCGATGCGGCTGTGAGGAGCTGGACGGGGCCCTGCCCTGGCCTCCTCCTCTACCTCCATGTCCAGAGAGAACAGCCTTAAGCATGGGTCTGCACTCTTCACTGTCCTGCTCACCCCAAAGCCACCTGGGGGAGGCTTCATCCTTGCCGTGCGGGATGAAGTCTATCTCTTCAGCGAGGCACCCACAGTCTCAGCCCAGTGCTCTCCCTGCTTTTGCACTCTGGGGCCCCGTGCACCCTTGGTCTCCACACCTCTGTTTACGGGGCCCCTCTCTGACCTGACACTGTGTCCCTCCACCAAAAGGCTCCCTTTTCCAGCCCCAGTTTAAATGTGTACACTCCAATTTCACCTTTTTCTTTCTTCTTTCTTTCTTTCTTTCTTTCTTTCTTTTTTCTTTCTTTCTTCTTTTTTCTTTCTTTCTTTCTTTCTTTCTTCTTTCTTTCTTTCTTTCTTTTTCTTTCTTTCTTCTTCCTTCCTTGTTTCCTCCCTCCCTCCCCTCCTCCCTCCCTCCCTCCCTCCCTCCCTCCCTCCCTTCCTTCCTTCCTTCCTTCCTTCCTTCCTTCTTCCTTCCTTCCTTCCTTCTTTCTTTCTTTCTTTCTTTCTTTCTTTCTTTCTTTCTTTCTTTCTTTCTTCTTCTTCTTTCAGACAGCCTCACCTGTCGCCAGGCTGGAGTACAGTGGTGCCATCTTGCTCACTGCAACCTCCACCTTCTGGGCTCAAGTGATTCTCCTGCCTCAGCCTCCCGAGTAGCTGGGATTACAGGCGTCCGCCACCACGCCCAGCTACTTTTTGTATTTTAGTAGAGACAGGGTTTCACCATGTTGACCAGGCTGGTCTTAAACTCCTGACCTCAGGTGATCTGCCTGCCTTGGCCTCCCAAAGTGCTGGGATTACAGGTGTGAGCCACCATGCCCGGCCAAATGTACCCTTCTTGACGGATCCTTCTCTGACCTTTGTCCAACCACCCTCGGGAACCATGCACTTTCCGCCTCCTGGCCGTGGCCCTGCCTCAGTGTGTGGGGTCTATGGGCATCTACTTGGGCCTTCCAGCACCTGGCACGTAGTAGGTGCTTGATTTGCTTGGGCAACCCTTTCTAGCTGATGTTACTCCCAGAGACATGGTGGGAGACAAGAGAAGATTCTGGAAGGCAGTGTGTCTCGAGAACCAGGGACTGATTTAATGATCCAGGCTCTGTGAGGTCCTGTGGGGGACCACCCAGCTAAGTCTGGAAGAGGGTCAAAGAGTCCTCTCACTGAGAAGCCACAGGCAAAACACACAGTTCGGCTAATGCACCAGGGGTTCCGGACAGACCCACCGAGAGGCGGGAGGCGTGAGGGAACCACAGAGGGAACCTTTCAGTGCTCGGGGGCTCCTGCCTGCTTCGAATGACGATGAACATTAACTGCTATTTGGATGGACCCCCACCACCCTGAGACCCCTGAAAGCCCGCCATGTTTACCCTGCAGGATTGATCGCTACGGTGGGAGAAACAGATGGATCGAGAGACAGAGAGTGACAGATGAGACAGGCCGAGAGAGACTCCGGGCATCTCTACTCAACCTTGAAAATCTGATGTTCGCCCAGGCTGATGGGGGATTTGGTTTCTGTAGCTAAAAGGAGGGGAGGGGAAGAAACAAGACACGAGACACAAATCAAACAGGGCCCTAGACACATGTCACTGGGGCTTAGAAAAAACAAGCGAGCTTCAGCCATCCCGTCCCTGGTCATACACGCCGCCTGGGTTGGCCCGGGAACGCACACGGACCGATGCTCATCTCCCCGTGGCTGGGACGACAAGACACAGCGGTTCCCCTGGGCTTGAATCAGGCAGCTGCTGGTACAGACAAGCCTTCCTCCCAGGGCAGCCATGCAATATGGCTTATGGCAGAAGACAGGACAAAAGCCAAGAGCAGCGGGAGGGGACTCAAGTGATGTGCGGGGAGGTGGAGGCTGAGCAGAGCTGAGTACACAACGCAGAGCGGGTTTCAGAAGAGGGTGAGGCTGCCAGGCAGGTGCCCTGGCCACCCCCGGCCCAGAGTGCTAACGGGGTCTCAGTCGGCTCGGATGTGCTGCCTCAGCCTTCTGGCTCGGCGTGTGCAAGGCTGGGAGAGGCGGAGGCACTGTCAGGCTCTGTGGCATCTCATTCATTCACCTACTCCCCTTTCGAGCCAGCCATAGGTCTCAGGTTGCATGAGATTCCCTGAGCAAAGTGACAGGATTACTGCTAACTCCAGCTCCCAGATGGGTGCCTGACATGTGACGGGGCAAGTGTGGGATTGGCAATTTCTACCACATTTGTGAAGAATAAACAGATTAATTTTTTTTTTTGAGGCAGAGTCTTGCTCTATCGCCCAGGTTGGAGTGCAGTGGTATGATCTTGGCTCACTGCAACCTCTGCCTGGGCTGCCCAAGGATTCTGCCTCAGCCTTCCCAAGTAGCTGGGACCATGGGTGTCCACCACCACGCCCAGCTAATTTTTGTATTTTTAGCAGATGATTTCGCCACAGCATAGGTTGGTATCGAATTTAACTCGATGATTCATCTACTGCTTCTAAAGTGTTGACAGGCTTGAGTGACTGTGCCCAGCCTGAATTTGGAAATGATGCTCATTTCATTCTCTTCCTCCTCTGTCTCTCTTTTTCTTCCTTCCTTTTCCTTCCTTCCTTCCTTCTCTTTTCTCCCCTCCCTCCTCCTCTCTCTTTCTTTTCTTTCTTTCTTTCTTTCTTTCTTTCTTTCTTTCTTTCTTTCTTTCTTTCTTCTTTCTTTCTTTCTTTCTTTCTTTCTTTTCTTTTTTCTTTCTTCTTCTCTCTCTCTTTCTTTCCCTCCCCTCTCTCCCTCCCTCTCTCTCTCTCTCTCTCTCTTTCTTTCTTTCTTTTTCTTTCTTTCTTTCTTTCTTTCTTCTTTCTTTCTTCTCCTCCCATCTCCCTCCCTTCCTTCTTTCTTTTCTTCTTTCTTTTCTCTCTCTCTCTTATTATTGAGACAGGGTCTTGCTCTCACTCAGGCTGGAGTATAGTAGTGCGATCATAGCTCACAGCAGCCTCCAACTCTTGGGCTGAGGAGATCCTCCTGCCTCAGCCTCCTGAGTAGCTGGGACTAAAGGTATGTACCACGATGCCTAGCTAATTTCTTTTCTTTCCTTTTTCCTTTTTCCTTCCTTCCTTCCTTCCTTCCTTCCTTCCTTCCTTCCTTCCTTCGCAGTTGACACTACAGGTAATGTGCCACCATGCTCTAGCTAATGTTTAAATTATTTTGTAGAGATGGGGTCTTGCATGTTGCCCAGGCTGGTCTGGAACCTGCTCAAGCATTCCGCCTTGGCCTCCCAAAGTGCTGGGATTGTAGGTGGAGCAACGCTACGCAGCTGTGGAAGTGATTGACTGGAATGTTGGCGATTCTGTGCTAGCTCTAGGAGAACAAGGTCTATGAATGTCTCTTGCAGGGGGAGGAGGGGTGAGGGGTCTTTATCCATCTCACCTCAACCCTGCTTTCCCCTTCACCAGGATACCTTCCAGTAGAGAACTCTAATGATGAGGTTGACCTGCTCTAGCTGTAGGCATCCAGCCCGGATTGGTGAGAGGAGAGGAGGAGTGAACGGAGGAGGGTCCATGAGTAGCGTTCGTGACTGTCATCTGGCAGAGGGGATGAGGGTCCACTGGGTACCGGGTGGCGGGGAGTTTCCAGAGACAGTGCCAGGATCGCTGGGTAGCCTGCATCAGCAGGCTCGAGCCTCTTGCCCTGCTCCTCCGGGCAGCCTCTCGAGATGGGTCCTTGAGGTTCCCTGGGCACAGAAGGCTGATCTGCCATTGAATGCTCCCAAATACACCTTCCTCAGCCTCCAGGAGCTTCCTTCAGTGGAAGCCTTATCAGGTATCTGGTTTTTTTTTTTTTTTTTTTTTGAGACGGAGTTCGCTCTGTCGCCCAGGCTGGAGTGCAGTGGCCGGATCTCAGTCACTGCAAGCCTCGCCCGGTTCACCATTTCCTGCCTCAGCCTCCCGGCAGCTGGGACTACAGGCACCTGCCACCTCGCCTGGCTAGTTTTTTGTATTTTTTTAGTAGAGACGGGGTTTCACCATGTTAGCCAGGATGGTCTCGATCTCCTGACCTCGTGATCCACCCGGCCTTGGCCTCCCAAAGTGCTGGTATTACAGGCTTGAGCCACTGCGCCCGGCCCAGGCATCGGTTTTAAGATTCCTTTTTTTTTTTTTTTTTTTTTTGATATCTAAAAGGACTTCCTACTAGCAGTTGCTTGTTCTAGCTTTGTTTTTTTTTTTTTTTGTTTTTTTTTTAGAGAGGGTCTTGCTCTGTTGCCCAGGCTGCAGTGCGATGACTTATGGCTCACTGTAGCCTCCAACCTCCTGGCTCAAGTGATCCTCCTGCCTCAGCCTCTGGAGTAGCTGGGACTACAGGCAGGTGCACCACCATGTCCGGATAATGAAACTTTTTTTTTTTTTTTTTTTTTGTAATAGAGATGGGGTCTCACCATCCACAGGCTGGTTTGAATTTCTGGGCTCAAGCTATCCTCCTGTCTTGGCTTCCTGAAGGAGCTGGGACTATAGCGGTATGCCACCATGCCTGGCTAATTAATTTTTTTTTTTTTTTTTTGTAGAGGAAGGGTCTTGCTAAGTCACCCTTCCTGGTCTCAAGTGATCCACCTGCCTTGACCTCTCAAAGTGCTGGGATTACAGGCATGAGGCACCGTGGCTGGCTTCATTCTGTTTTTGGAGTTGGGCCTCAGATTTCATTTTGGTACTCCTAAGGCCTCACCATTGTCCATCAGCTTCCCGGGCCTGCAGGCCTGAAGCAGGGCGGGAAGAGGAGGGTCTGCGCCCCATAGGAGGCCCCTCCCTATCTTCTCACTCCCAGGTGGACCTGGAACACCGCGGGAAAGACATCTGCTGCATAGAACTCCAGTGCTGGGATGGAGTGGAACTGCAAACCTGCTGGGACTGATAACAAAGGCTTCTCTGCAAATGGAATTTTCCACACTGCAAAATACTTGACGGTTGCCCGGGATTCTCTCCTTCCAAAACTCTTTCAATTCTTCTCATTACCCAGCCTCCCGATTAGGTGCTAACCTCTCTTTAACACTTGATAGCGTTGATGCTTCCCCCATTAAAGAGGACCACCATCTTTCGCTTTCATCGGTTGGCAGCCTTAGCTGGCAAAGGCTGGGGAGTTCTGGAAGAGAGGGGCTGGCAGGCACACCAGGAGGATTCTGAGCCACAGTCTCCCTGTTGCCAGCTCTGTCGGGCCAGGGATACAAGCAATTCTCCTCGGTGCTGAGATAGGCTTGAAGGCGTGATCCTGCAAGCCCGCCTTCACCCTCCCTATTCCCATCCCGCCTCACCTCCCTACTTCTCCCCATCCCGCCTCACCTCCCTACTTTCTTCCTATCCCGCCTCGCCTCCCTACTCCCTATCCCGCCGCTTCTCCCACTTCTCCCCATCCCACCTCGCCTCCCTACTCTATCCCGCCGCCTCCCTTGTTTCTCCCCATCCCGCCTCACCCTCTAGCCCCCCATCCCGCCACCTCCCTACTTCTCTCATCCCACCTTTCACTCCTCCCTACTTCTCCCCATCCCGCCTTGCCCTCACTACTTCTCCTCCCGCCTCACCTCCCGCCTCCCCATCCTGCCTCGCCCCTCCCTACTTCTCCCCATCCTGCTTGCTCCTCCCTACTTCTCCCATCCCGCCTCTACACTCCCTACTTCTCCCCATCCCGCCTTTCACCTCCTCATTTTCCATCCCGCCGCCTCCTCCTCCTACTTCTCCGCATCCCGCCTTCACCTCCTGGCCTCCCCCATCCTGCCTTCACTCCTCCCTACCACCCCATCCCGCCGCCTCCCCACTTCTCCCCATCCCACCTCACCTCCCCACTTCTCCCCATCCCACCTCGCCTCTACTTCTCCCCATCCCACCTTCACCCTCTCCTTACTTCTCTCATCCGCCTTCACCCTCCCATTCCCATCCCACCTCACCCCTCTCTACTTCTTCCCCATCCCGCTCGCCCTCCCTACGATCCCCATCCTGCCTTGCCCTCCCTGCATTTCTCCCCATCCCGCCTTCACATTCCCTTGTATCTTCCCATCCCACTTCACTCCTCCCTACTTCTCCCCATCCCGCCTCGCCTCCCTACTTCTCCCCATCCCGCCGCCTCTCCTACTTCTCCCCATCCTGCCTCGCCTCCCTACTTCTCCCATCCTGCTTCACCCTCCCTACTTCTCCCCATCCCGCCTTCACACTTCTGCATTCCCATCCTGCCTCACTCCTCCCTACTTCTCCCCATCCCGCCTCGCTCCCTCCCTACTTCTCCCCATCCCGTCTCGCCTCTCTACTTCTCCCCATCCCGTCTTGCCTCCCTACTTCTCCTCCCATCCCGCCTTCACCCTCCTACTTCTCCCCATCCCGCCTTCACCTCCCCATTCTCCCATCCCGCCTCACTCCCTCCCTACTTCTCCCATCTCACTTTCACCCTCCCCCTACTTCTCCTCATCCTGCCTCGCCTCCTACTTCTCCCCATCCCGCCTTCACCTTTCCCCATTCCCATCCCGCCTCACTCCTCCGTAGTTCTCTCAATCTCGCCGCCCCTCCCTACTTCTCCCATCCCACCTCGGCCCTCCTACTTCTCCCCATCCTGCCTTCACACTCCCTACTTCTCCCCATCCCGCCTCACCCTCCCTACTTCTCTATCCCGCCGCCTCCCCATTCCCATCCCGTCTCGCCTCTCTACTTCTCCCATCCTGTCTTGTCTCTCCCTACTTCTCCCCATCCCGCCTTCACCTCCCTACTTTCCACCCTGCCTCACCCTCCCTACTTTCCCATCTCACCTTCACCCTCCCTACTTCTCCCCATCCCACTCGCTTCCTCCCTACTTCTCCCATCCTGCCTCTCACCTCCCTACTTCTCCCCCATCCCGCCTTCAGCCTCCCCTAAGATCTCCCTCATCCTGCCTTGCCCTTCCCCTACTTCTCCCCCATCCCGCCTCTTCACTCCCTCCCTACATCTCCCCTTCATCCCGCCTCACTCTCTACTTCTCCCATCCTGCCTTCAATTTCTACTTCTCCCCATCCCGCCTCACCCTCCCTACTTCTCCCCCATCTCACCTTCACTCCTCCCTACTTCTCCCCATCCCACCTCGCTCCTCCTTACTTCCCCATCCTGCCTTCACTCCTCCTTTACTTCTCCCCACCCCGCCTTGCTCTCTCTACTTTCTCCCCATCCCGCCTTGCTCCTCCCTACTTCTCTCATCCCGCCTTCACTCCTCCCTACTACTTCCCATCCCACTTTGCTCCCTCCAAAGATCGGGCCTGTTCCCCTAGCCTGTCTCTCCAGTGCTGGCTCTCCCCGAAGCCTTGCACCTCCAAGGTCTGCCCCCATGCCTTGGTCCTCCAAGGTCCACTTCCCCACAGCCTTGCACCTCCAAGCTGGCCTCTCCCTGGCCTTGTCCCTCCAATATCGGGCCTCTCCATCTCGCAGATTCCCAGCCTGTACAGGCTGGTTAACAGCTCAGTACATGAATTTCTACAAGAACGCCTGCTCCCAGCTCCTCCCTCTGCCCTCCTGTTCCTTCCTGTCTCTGAGGCTCCTTTCTTTATCTATAAAATGAGGGCACAATAGCATTTCTGAGAGCAGTTGTTGAGATGAAACTGGATCAGGTATGCAGGTCGAGCCCCTCCATGGTGCCTGGCTACAGTACGTGAGAGCCACGCTTTTAAAAGCCCAGACCTAGCTCAAGCCTCTGCACAACAGCTGATGGGCCCCGCTTTCCAAGCAAGACAAAAGAACAAGCTCACAGGGCATCTCTTTGGCTATGGGCAAGGCTCTGGGGACAGAGGCTTAGCTTCTGTGTTCAAGGGTGACTTGAGTCCATTCCACATAGTAGGTCTTAAGGATCTGCGACCCTCCACCTGTGACCTCTGCGACCTGTCCTCACTCCAGACCCTCCCGATCTGAGAGGCGACTGGCCCAGGTCTAAGGCATGGCAAACTCCAGCCGCTGTCATTGTCTTCTTCGACTTCTCGTGCTGCAAGACACAAGGAGGGCAGGGAGGGCATGCGTGTGAGTGTGAGTGCGTGTGTGTGTGCACACGCGTGCAGGTGGGAGGGAGAGGAAGCCTGGGAAGGTTCCGGGCTTCTCTGAGGGCTTGCCTCTGAGAGGGCAGTGTGGGCGGAGGAGTTTGGGACAAGGAGGGGTGGAGGAGGCAGGAGCCTCCCCAGAAGGGTGGCGGTGGCCCAGGAGGCCTTGGAGGTTGGTTGTGTCCTCCCAGTGGGGGAGGAGGGAAGCCAGGGCAGGTGAACAGAGGCCCCACCGGCCCCACCTGCTGTTTACATCTCTCTCACTCTTCTCTGACATGGTACAGGACAGAGATCCATCTGCCCTGTGTGATGGGTCTGGGAGCAGAGCGCCCCTCAGCAGGAGTGGATGGAGCAAGCTTGCTGTGCCTGGAGTTCTCACTGTCTGCATGTGGTGTTTGGTAATCGTGCTTCCAGGCGCAGTGGCTTTGGTGCAGACACCACATGTGGCTTCTGAAAGCTGCTTTTTAACACCTGCCCCCGGCTGGCTAGGAGGAGCTCCTCACAACACAGCTGGTGGAGGGGCTGGCGTGGGGCTGTTTTTTTATTTTTATTTTTTTAATTTTTGAGATGGAGTTTGCCTGCTACCCAGGCTGGAGTGCAATGGTGCGATCTTGGCTCACTGCAACCTCTGCCTCTTGGGTTCGGGCGCGATTCTCCTGCCTCATTTCCCCAGTAGCCAGGATTACAGGTACTCGCCACCGTGCCCAGCTATTTTTATTTTTTATTTTTTAATTTTAGTAGAGATAGGTTTTGCCATGCTGGCGAAGTCTGGTCTGAACTCCTGACCTCAGGTGATCCACTCCACCTCAGCCTCCCAAAGTGTTGGGATTACAGGTGTGAGCCACTGTGCCCGGCCTGGCAAGATCTTTGCTGCTGATCTCTGAGCCAACCAGGGAAGGCTATGCTGAGAGGCCTCAAACCCAGGCCAGCAGGACCCGGGTGTGGATCCAGCCTCGGCCACGCTTGCTCTCCGCCCTTCGGGAAACCGCCCCAACAACCTCTGACTCCGGGTGGTGTGACGTGCCAAATCCTGGCAGGCTGGAAACACCTATACGCAGGCATACTTCTACTGTACTTCTCTCAGAGGACACTCAATGGTTTTCGGAAGTAAGCAAGGTGGGAGAGGAGATTGAGAAGCCATTCATGAGTTTCTTTTTTTTTTTTTTTTGAGATGGAGTCTTGCTTTGTCACCCAGGCTGGAGTGCAGGGGCACGATCTCGGCCTACTGCAACCTCTACTCTGCTGGTTCAAGCGATTCTCCTGTCTCAGCCTCCCAAGTAGCTGGGACACAGGACGCCCGCCACCATACCCAGCTAATTTTTAAATGTTGTAGAGATGGAGCTCTACCATATTGGTCAGGCTGGTCTTGAACTCCTGACCTCAGGTGATCCACCAGCCTCGGCCTCCCAAAGTGCTGGGATTAAGGGTGGGGCGTGAGCCACCACGCCAGCCTTGAGTTTCTTATTCTTTGGCAGAAATGCCAAGCCCTGTGGCTGTGGGGCCCCAGAACCTGATTTCTCTGTCACATGGAGCCGGGTCAGTGGGTTTTCATTCTGGATAGGCAGCTCGGTGACTTGGGCGGCCACTTCCTCCTCTCTGAGCCTCAGCCTCTCAATTGTAATGACATGAGCAGCACTCTGCCTTTGAGGGGAGCTGAGGATGGCTGGGTCAGTACATGGACTGGCCTTGAGACGGGTAAGGAGGCTTGCATGGTGGCATGGGGCAAACGCCCCAGTCCTCCTCACCTGCCACCCACCTGCGATGGGGCGCCATTCTCCTTGTGAGCGCCTGACGATGGAGTCATTTCCCGGGGCTCAAGTGTGATTGACATGATGCTGCTGCGGCCCGGGGCTGCTTTCCAGACACAGACACACACACATTACGGGCGATAAATATGAGCACACGAGGGACTAAATTCAACACAAAATCATGCCTGGCTCCTACCAGGGCGGGGTGTGGGGCAGCGAGCTGGCTCTCAGGGGCAACCTTGGCTGGAGCAGGCTCGCTCAGCCTGCAGGCGCGCAGCTGCTGAGCTTGAACATACATCTGCTTGCACATCTGCTCACAGGAGGACGAGGCAGGAGCTGGCTGACTGGGGACTGGGCACTGCCTGGCCACGGTACAGGCTGAGCCGAGGCCCCTTCGGCTGCACCCTGCTGTGGGCACTGCTCTAAACATGGTGAACAGTGTGGGCCTGGGGCGTGGGGAGGGCAGTGGTGCCCCCCGGACGCAGTACAGCTGCTGAGGGTGACCTTTGAAAGCAGGCCTGCTGGAGCCTGGCCAGAGCTGCTCTAGTAAGTACTGATCTGCCACCCAGGGCCATCAGGACAGGGAATCATTCATTATAAAATCTCTACCTCCCCCAGGGCCTGATTTTGGAAGCTGAGCTGACAAGCTTCTGTGCTTCCTCAAGTTAGGAATTTCTAATCCTGGGCCTTCTGCCTGGCGGGAGGGGCAATGCTGAGGTGGTTAGACCCCTCACTGGCCTGCCCGGGTAGGGGTTCTGGGCTGGTGAGGCCCTGAGCCCAGCTCTGTAGTGGCTCCAGCTGCTCCCGGCTCTGTGCTCCCTGCTGCCACCGGCTCCCCAGGCTGGAGTTGCCAGAGGCATGAGAAGTTGCGCAGAATTTTCACCGCCTGTGCCATAGTGACAGCCCCTGGGAGGCTCAGCCTCCTCCCACCTGCCAAGTGTTGAATTGGGAAGGAGGTGGCAAGAAGGTGTAAACAGCATTGCGAGGCTGTGAAACCTCTCAAATAAACATAAGGGAGGCTGGGGCTGCAGCCCAGAGCACGCAGCAGTGCCATTCAGAGGCTGGGACTTGGGAGGAAGGGGAGGTGGGTCGGGCTGGTGGGGTGGATGAGGCTAGGGCCCTGGGACGGTGTTCTGCAACAGGAGGGTGTTGTTAGATGAGCTGGGGCCCTGATGGCACTCTGGAGGGAGAGAGGAGGGCAGGGGACCAGCTGGGGCCCTGGATGGCATTCTGCAGGGGCAGTAGGTGGTGGTGTGGACTCAGCTGGGGCCCTGGATGGCCTCCTGCAGTGGGAGAGGGCAATGGGATGAGCTCTGGAGGGAGAGTGGGTGGTGAGCATGAGCTGGGGCCCCAGACAGTGTTCTGCAGGAAAGATAACGGAGGGACCGTGAGATCAGGCAGAGGCCGCAGCTCACCATCTTGGTGAAGGAGTTGTGATGGGCAGATCCACAGGAGCTGGGGCTGGCGTCCGTGCCTTCTTCTCAGCCCCTTGGCTGTCTCATGGGAGATATGTGGGAGAGATAGAGAAAGGAGAAGGAGCCAGGGAGGGCTTGAGGTGGGCAGAGAGAGGGAAGGGAGAGAGGGCAGCAGGGAAAGGGGGAAGTCAGAGCCCATGGCCACAGGCACGTAGGGCTGTCTGGTGTCACTCCCAAACCTCTTCTAACGAGGTGGGTCCGGGGCCTCTTCTCCCTTGGGGCTCCTCTCCTCTCTGTGGCATCTGCTGGAGAAAGAGCCCTCAGAAACCTCCTCTTGTTTTTATTAAGTTTTTTATAGAGGTGGCGCTTGCTATGTTGCTCAGGTTGGTCTTGAACTCTTGGCCTCAAGCGATCTCCTTGCCTTGGCTCTCCCGCTGGTATCCCAGGCATAAATTATCTCTTTCTGTCTCCTCACTACAGTAGGCTTCTGGTGGGGGTCTCATTTGCTAACATATCCCAGCTTCCCAGCGAGGCTCACTCCCCTGGGCAGCCTGGGTCAAAGGGATAAATGCCATGTGTCTCTTGAGGATTCTGTGTGGGGTCCCTGGCTGGCATTTTCTTTCTATGAACAATGGACAACTGGGGCCTGAGTTCTCTGCCCACCTCTGCCATCACCATGGACTCTGCCTCTCCCTGACAAGCAAAGGGCTATTGATGGGGATGAGGACAGACTGGGGGCTAGAGTCTGTGAAACTCTACATAAACATAAGGAGGCTGGGGCTGCAGCCTGTGAGGCTGGGACTTGGGAGGAAGGTGAGGTGGTCGGGGCTGGTGGGTGGATGAGGCTGGGGCCCCAGACGGTGGTCCACAGCAGGAGAGGGTGTTGGGGGATGAGCTGGGGCCTGCCACACTCTAGAGGGAGAGGGTAAGCTTCCTTTGATGTCCTGTCCCAACCCCTGGCTCTGCTTCCGCTGCTCTGGGACCATGTGCCTCGTCCTCTCAGCCTCGTCTGATGGCTTTGCTGTCTGTGTCTCCTCCTTGCTCCCACCCTTGCTGTGTGTGCCTGTGTGCACAGACAGATATACGTACATGCACCCCCATCAGCGGATGTCTTGTAGGGATAACCATATGCTGTCCTTCCCCTGGGCCCCTAGCACCTGGCACTGGGCAGCCTAAGGTCTGATGAGGAGCGAAGAAGCCCCATGGCCATGACATCTGTCCCTTCCTTTGGTGCAACCCCTCTGCTTCCCAGGCCCCAGGCCCTTTGCACTCCTCCCCTTCTGATAAAGAAGGCCGCTGAGACACTGGATGTGGCTGTGAGGCTGGACGGGGCCCTGCCCTGGCCTCCTCCTCTACCTCCATGTCCAGAGAGAACAGCCTTAAGCATGGGTCTGCACTCTTCACTGTCCTGCCCACCCCAAAGCCACCTGGGAGGCCATCCTGCCGCAGGCGGATGAAGTCCATCTCTCTCAGCGAGGCACTCCACAGTCTCAGCCCAGTGCTCTCCTGCTTTGCACTCTGGGTGCCTGTGCACCTCTTCTTGGTCTCCCACACCCTGTTTACGGGCCCCTCTCTGACCTGACACTGTGTCCCTCCACCAAAAGGCTCCCTTTTCCAGCCCCAGTTTAAATGTACACTCCACCCCCACCTTTTTCTTTCTTTCTTTCTTTCTTTCTTTCTCTCTTTCTTTCTCTTTCTTTCTTCTTCCTTCCTTGTTTCCCTCCCTCCTCCCTCCTCCCTCCCTCTCTCCCCTCCCTTCCTCCCTTCCCTCCTTCCTTCCTCTTCCTTCCTTCCTTCCTTCCTTCCTTCCTTCCTTCCTTCCTTCCTTTCCTTCCTTCCTTCTCTCCTTTCTTTCTTTCTTCAGAGCGCTCACTGCCGCTAGGCTGGAGTACAGTGGTGCCATCTGGCTCACTGCAACCTCCACTTTCCTGGGCTCAAGTGATTCTCCCTGCCTCAGCCTCCCAGTAGCTGGGATTACAGGCGCCCGCCACCACGCCTAGCTACTTTTTGTATTTTTAGTAGAGACAGGGTTTCACCATGTTGACCAGGCTGATCTTAAACTCCTCTGACCTCACAGGTGGGACTGCCTGCCTTGGCCTCCCAAAGTGCTGGGATTACAGGTGTGAGCCACCGCGCCCGGCCAAATGTACCTTCTGACGGATCCTCTGACCTTGTCCAACCACCCTCGGGAACCATGCACTTTCCGCCTCCTGGCCGTGGGCTCCTGCCTCTCAGTGTGTGGGGTCTATGGGCATCTACTTGGCCTTCTAGCACCTGGGCACGTAGTAGTGCTGATTTGCTTGGGCAAACTCCTTCTAGCCGATGTTACTCCCAGAGACATGGTGAGGACAAAAGAGAAGATTCTGAAAGCAGGTCTCGGAGGTTCAGGAGACTGACGAATGAACGCCAGCTCCTGTGAGGTCCTGGGGACTACCCAGCTAAGTCTGGAAGAGGGGACAAAGAGTCCTTCACCGAGAAGCCACAGGCAAAACACACAGTTCAAGCACGCACCAGGGGTTCCGGATACAGACCCACCGAGAGGCGGAGGCGGAGGGAACCACAGAGGGAACCTTTCAGTGCTCGGGCTCCCGCCCGCTTCAATGACGATGAACATTAACTGCTATTTGATGGACCTCACCACCCTGAGACTCCCGAAAGCCTGCCATGTTTACCTCCCTGCAGGATTGATCGCTATGTGGAGAAACAGATGGACTGAGAGAGACAGAGTGACAGATGAGACAGGCCGAGAGAGACCCGGGCATCTCACTAACCTTGAAAATCTGATGTTCGCTTCAGCTGATGGGGATTTGCCTCTGCAGCCAGTGAGGAGGGGAAGAAACAAGACACGAGACACAATCAAACAGGGCTCCTAGACACATGTCAGTCACGGAAAAAATAAAGTGAGGCCAGCCATCCTGTCCTGCGTCGGCACAGCCGCCTGCTGGCCCGAACGCACACGATCTCATGCTCATCTCCCGTGGCTGGGACGACAAGATACAGCAGCTCCTGGGCTTGAATCCGGCAGCTACACAGACAAGCCTTCCTCCAGGGCAGGCCATGCAATATGGCTTATGGCAGAAGACAGGACAAAGCCAAGAGCAGCGGAGGGGATTTGGCGGATGTGGGTGAGGAGGCTGAGCAGAGCTGAGTACACAACGCAGAGCGGGTTTCAGAAGAGGGTGAGGCTGCCAGGCAGGTGCTCCTGGCCACCCCGGCCCAGAGGCACGGGGTCTCAGCCGGCCTGGATGTGCTGCCTCAGCCTTCTGGCTCAGCGTGTGCAAGGCTGGGAGAGTGAGGCACTGTCAGGCTCCTGCTGTGGCATCTCATTCATTCACTCCACTCCTTCGAGAGCCAGCCATAGGCTTGTGTTGCATGAGATTCTGAGCAAAGTGACAGGATTACTGCTAACTCCAGCTCCCCAGGATGGTGCTCTGACATGGACGGGCATGTGATTGCACTCAATACATTTGTGAAGAATAAACAGATTAATTTTTTTTTTTTTTTGAGGCAGAGTCTTGCCTTTATCGCTCAGGTTGGAGTGCAGTGGTATGATCTTGGCTCACTGCAACCTCTGCCTGGCTGGGTTCAAGTGATTCTCCTGCCTCAGCCTCTCAGTAGCTGGGACTATGGGTGTCCACCACCACGCCCAGCTAATTTTTGTATTTTTAGTAGATGGGATTTCGCCATGTTGGCCAGGCTGGCATCGAACTCCTAACCTCAGATGATCCATCCACTTCAGCTTCCCAAAGTGCTGGGATTACAGGCTTGAGTGACTGTGCCCAGCCTGAATTTGGAAATGATGCTCATTTCATTCTCTTCTCTCCCTCTGTCTCTTTTTCTTCCCTTCCCTTCCTTCCTTCCTTCCTCTTTCCTTCTCTCTCTTCTCTCCCTCCCTCCCTCCTTCTCTCTTTTCTTCCTTTCTTTCTTCCTTTCTTTCTTTCTTCTTTCTTTTCTTTCTTTCTTTCTTTCTTTTTTTCTTTCTTTTTTTTTCTTTTTCTTCTTTCTTTCTCTCTCTCTCTTCTTTCCCTCCCTCTCCCTCCCTCCCTCCCGTTTCTTTCTTTCTTCTTTCTTCTTTCTTTCTTTCTTTTCTTTCTTTCTTTTCTTCTTTCCTTCCTCCCATCTCCCTCCCTTCCTTCCTTCTTTCTTTCTTCTTTCTTTTCTCTCTCTTATTATTGAGACAGGGTCTTGCTCTCACTCAGGCTGGAGTATAGTAGTGCGATCATAGCTCACAGCAGCCTCCAACTCTTGGGCTGAGGAGATCCTCCTGCCTCAGCCTCCTGAGTAGCTGGGACTAAAGGTATGTACCACGATGCCTAGCTAATTTCTTTTCTTTCCTTTTTTCCTTCCTTCCTTCCTTCCTTCCTTCCTTCCTTCCTTCCTTCCTTCCTTCCTTTCTCTCTCTCTTTCTCTCTTTCTCTCTTTCTTTTTTGACACTGGATCTTCCTATGTTGCCCAGGCTGGTCTGGAACTCCTGATCTCAAGCGATCCTCCCACATTGGCCTCCCAAAGTGCTGGGATTACAGATGTGACCTACCATGCCCAGCCTGTCTTTCTTTCTCTCTCTTTTAACGTCTATTACGTTTATAAGAGTGAAGGAATCAGTAAAAATGTACAAATGAGTAAAAAGCGAGTTGGCAGGATTTCCAGCTTACAGGGTTGAAATAGGTTGAATCACAGTCTGGGCACCCAAAACCCACCCAGAAGCAGGCGTGACTGTGCTGCCCCATTGTTGCCTGCAGGGGCCCGCGGCTCCCAGACCCTCCGCCCTGCACCTGCGCCCCTCCCTCCACCCCCATGCACCTGGATGCCCTTCAGGTTCATCCTGCGCTGGGGCGGGTGGTAGGGCAGGAAGTACTTGCTGTCTTCGGGTGACTCCTCCGAGGTGGAGGAATCGTCGGCTTCTTGACCATTGGTCCTGGGGCTGGCATCCCCAAAGTCCTGAGAGATGATGGTTACTGGCAGGTTCCTGGGCAGACTCTGGGGACAGAGAAAACCTGGCGTTAGTGATGGGGCTTGGCGATGTGCCACCAGTAGGCAAAGTGGCTGGGCTGACGGCGTCATCATTCCCTCAGCCACCCGAGCTTGAAGCTTACTTCGGCCATTCTTCTTTCCTGACCCCAACCGTAACCCCAGACACTGAGCCCCACCATTCCAGCCTAGCGATGCCTCCTCCTCCCGGGCTTCTGGTTCGGTCTCCCAAGCAAGCCCCGGTCTTCCTGTACAATGGTAAAGGCGTTGCCTCCTGACCGGCCTCAACCCCTTACATCTCATCTGCCCCCATTACATTTCCAATTTCTAGCCCTGATTTCTAGAAATTTCTAGAAATTCCCATTTCTAGCCAATTCTAGCTCTAGTGCCTGAGCTAACAATATAAAAAATATTCAGAATGACTGAATGATGTTAAGAACAAAAACAGTGCTAGGTACTGTCCGGAGTGCTTCATAGCTGCCACTTCATTGAATCCTTCCTGACAAGTAGAGGTTGTTGTTGATCACCACCTTTTACAAAACAGGGAGCGGAGTGCTGTGGCATGAAGGAACTACGTGGCCCGCAAAGCCACACGGCACCCTCATGCTGCGCTGCCTCCAGACTCAAAGCGTCTTGTCCCACTCCCTGTGCAAAATCCTTCAGGGACTCAGAATAGCAGTAGAACATTCCTGGGTACGCACAGCCCACCTTGGCGCATCTCGTTACCCCCCTGCTGCTCCTTGACTCCCACTCTGCAGATGGGTGGAAGTGCCGGTCACGGCCTGCTGGCAGCACGGTGGGTTACGTGCCAGGCCTGTGTTCACGCTGTAACTGCAGCCGGGAATGCGGGTCCTCCTAAAGTGCTGGGATTACAGGCCTCAGCCACCGCACCCAGTCAGGGTCCCTTCCTTTGTAAATGAGGACACTGACCATGTGCTTTCCCTGCAGGACAGTTCTGTGGGGTAAATGAGGTAACGCGCAGAGGGCACGTTGCGTGGCACCTGCACGTGACCGTGCTCAGTAAACCCAGAGCTACAATAGTGATAACATCTACCTTGGAGGAGGCATTCCTTCGCTTCTCAGTGCCTGGGGCGCTGCCGGGAAATGCACTCTGCAATTCACATTGTCGATAAATGAGGGTTTACTCACAAGGCACTAGGAACCCTAATGACCGCAGGGTGTCTTAAACCCAGTGATGGTTCAGGTGTGCGGCTGGGGGGGGGAACCCTAGTGGGAGGCCAGCAGCTGGCTGTGGTCAACTGAGAGGGCACTGAGGCTCCTAAGCAGGGAGACTGCTCAGCAAGGAAGTGGCCGGGTCAGACTTGACCCTGCGTCTTCTTTTTGTTTTTTGAGACGAAGGTTTGCTCTGTCACCAGGCTGGAGTGCAGTGGCAAGATCTTGGCTCACTGCAACCTCTGCCTCCCAGGTTCAAGCAATTCTCCTGCCTCAGCCTCCCGAGGAGCTGGGACTACAGGCACACACCACCACACCCAGCTAATTTTTTTGTATTTTTAGTAGAGACGGGGTTTCACTATGTTGGTCAGGCTGGTCTCGAACTCCTGACCTCATGATCCACCTGCCTCAGCCTCCCAAAGTGCTGGGATTACAGGCATGAGCCATCGTATCCAGCCCCCTGCATCTTCTTATTTATGTTTTTAATTTTAATTTTTTAAATTAAAAAAAATTTTCACTCTGTTGCCCAGACTGGTCTTGAACTCCTGTCCTAAAGCAATCCTCCCACCTTAGCCTCCCAAAATGCTGAGATTAGAGGCATGAACCACTGTGCTCAGCCCTACCCTGCATCTTCTAACTTCAAAATGAGTGGCTTCTACTCATCACTAAACAGACACAAACACAAGACTAAAAGATGTGGATTATGCCGGGTGTGGGAGGGAACTTCTGGCTTCAAAAATATGAAGGGCCGACCGGGCACAGTGGCTCATGGCTGTAAGTCTAGCACTTTGGGAGGCTGAGGTGGGAGGATCACTTGAGGATAGGAGTTTAAGACCAGCCTGGGAAACAGTGAGACCTTGTCTGTATAAAAAAAAGACAAAATTAGTCAGGCATGGTGGTGTGTGCCTTTAGTCCCATTACCCGGGAGGCTGAAGTGGGAGGATGGCTTGAGCCCAGGAGTTTGAAGCTGCAGTGAGCTGTGATGGTGCCATTGCATTCCAGCCTGGGCAACAGAGCAAGACCCCGTCTCAAAAACAAAACAAAACGAAACAAAGGACAAGGAGCTATTCATTGCACTGGGAGGTGGCAACTGGCCACAGCCCTCAGTGGGCGCCAGGGGGCACCTGGCTTCAGATGTGGGGCCCTAAGGGGAGGCGGCGACTGGCCACAGCCCCCAGTGGGTGCCAGGGGGCACCAGGCTGCAGACGTGGGCCCTACCCGTCCCAGCCCACCTGGTCCAGGTTGTTGCTGTCCTTGGAGAGGCGCCGGAGCTTGCTCTCCAGGTTGACGATGCACGCCTCCCGCCGCACCATCTCGATCCTCATCTCGTCGTTCTTCTCCTCCAGCTCGCGGATCTGCTTCCTGTACTTGTCCTTTTCGATTAAGCACTGCGAGTACTGTGTCTGGGCTTCGTCTCGGGAGTGGAAGGCCTGCCGGGGAGAAGCAGGACAAAGGCCGTTTTGGGGGCCACACCCAGTCAACTCCAGCTGGGCCCAGGGACAGGCACCGTCCCCGACCCAGGGGCCAGCCACATCGTCTGTGGCTCTTATCTGCAGCCTGACTCCTGGGCGTGTCAGTCACTGCCTTCTTCATTAACACGATCACAGAGCCGATGGTTCGACCCTTGCTAGTGGCAGGCTCCGTGTTGAGAGCTTTGATGCAGTATCCCTGGAAGGCCACAGCCTGTCCCTATGAGGTGGTGCTACCGTAATTATCCCCATTTTACAGATAAGGGCACTGAGGTCAGGGTGGCATACACCTTATGAATGACAGGGCTGGATCTGAACGCATCCTCTCACCCGAGAGAACAGACAACATTTAAGAAGCATGCTTGGTGGTGGGAGCTGCTGGAGCTCAGCTCAGAGCCCCCTGATACCCAAACGCCTGTGACTTCCAAAAGCCTTTTGGGATAGAATTCATCGTTGGAACAGAAATGGGAAAGATGGATTCAGGAGTGATCCCTGCATTGTCAGTGACATTGCACTGGACAAAACACTCTGAAGGACCCCGTGGCCTGGGGCGTGGGCCTCGCTGTGCAGTCTTGCCGCCCTGCACGCTGCAGGTGGTGCCTGTACCTGGTCCCGCTCCCGCTCCACCTCCTCCAGCTGCAGCATGACCGTATTCATCCGGTGCTTGTACATTTCACAGTCCTTCCCCAGGGTCGAGCACTTGAGCTCCAGGTCCTCCTTCTCCTCCAGGTACTGTGAACAACACAGAGAAATCAATACGTGCATCAAGGAATCAATAGGTCAGGGTTGAAAGCTGTTCTCCGCTCGTGCCTTCCCGCCGGCTGGCTGGAGCTGGCCTGTCCCTCCCTAAGCTGGCATGCTCAGGACATGGCCTGCCCTTCTGAGAACCGGCTATCTGACCACTGGGGCTCAAGGTAGGAGACCAATGAACCTGGCCTTGTCGTGAACCCACTACGGACCAGGTAATGTATGGGAGGACAGTGCGGTCTCAATCAGAAGGGGACACGGGTGCTCAGCTGGTGCGATAGCTTGTAAATGACCAAGGGTGGCCAACACATCTGGGATCCTGCAATCTGCAAGGTGTGGGTGAGGCTCTGAGACTCACATGTTGGCAAGTATGTCGGTTCCCCCAATCCCAAGCCCTCACCGTCTTCTCTGCCCACATTGCTCCTGCCCCCAGGCCCTCATCTGGTTGATAAACTGCAGCTCCTGCCAGGGGCTGAACACTGGGAAGTACAGGGGATTTATGCCAGGGGTCTGACCTAGTCCCCGGAAAGGAGTGTGGGGTCAGGGAGGTCCTGCTGACACCCACCACTGCCCCCTGGTGTGAAGGGGGCGGGCCAAGGGCACCGCTAGGCAGGCGCTCCCCGCTCCCACCTTGTCCCGCAGCTCCTCCGCCTGGCGGGCCTCCTCCTGCAGGTTGTAGATCCTGTTGACCAGCTCCTGCCGGTCCTCCAGGGCCTCCTTGCGGTCGTGTTCCAGGATGTCCAGGATGGCCTTGTCGGAGTCTGGCAGACTGCGCTTCCCAGCCTGGGTGGGAGGGAGGAGGTTTAACAGGGTCAGGGTCGGGGTGGGGAGCCAGGTGGTCCTGGAAGGCGGGGAACAGAAGAGCCAGCAACAGACACGGACAGAGCAGAAGGTTTTGTGTCTGGAAGGTAGAGGCAAGAAGAGATGTATGTCCCTTGGGGTCTCTAAGAAGCTTATCATTTAAGAAGTTTATCGCCTGGGAAGAAGCAGAAAACTGGCTTCTGCTTGGGAGTATTCTGGGCCTTTTGTTCTCCCTGGCGCTTATTAGAGCGCAGAGAAGCAATTGGTGCACCTAGAACACTTCATAGGTGACAGCAAAGGGAAGTTGGATCGGCTTTTTAGATGCCGTCCCTGAAATACTGATGAATCTGTTCTGGTGAAGCTGGGTTCATCCTCGGCTCTGAAAGAGCCTCAAATCCCAGGCAGCCGCTCCTGGTGGGGACTGTTCTGGAGGGAGCCGGAGGATGCATGTTGTTTTTCTTGCCCTGCAGATATGTTTCGGGATGTCACTCCTCAGCAGCTTCCTCCTCCGCGCCCACAAGTGATTCCACTTTGACAAGTGCGGGGAGGCATTTGAGGTTGGAACAAGTGGCATGGAGCTTAGAGTTGAGTTTCCTGAAATCTTTAAGGGTGTGTAGGTTTCCCAGACATCCTTGTCTCTTCCCACAGTGCCCAGGGCATTGATTTCCACATGGATGGTGATTTTCCTGGAGTGCTTCAAATAAGGACATGTTTTCTCAAGTATGATCTCCTGTCTCTGACAAATGCATGGTGGGGGGTCACCGCTTTACAGAGGAGGAGACAAAGGTGCCCAAGGATGGCATGTATATCTGTGATCCTGCAGTCAGCGTGGCGTGAGTGAGGCTCTGGGACTCACACCCTGGCAGGTGCGTCATCTCCCCCAACCCCAAGCCCTCACCCTCCCGCTGCCCGCGCTGGCCCCGCCCCCAGGCCCTCACCTGGATGATGGACTGCAGTTCCTGGTTTTTGGTCTTCAGCATTTCATTCTCCCGCTCCAGTTCCAGAACCTGCTCCTTCTTGGGCCGATTTTCAATGTCATTCTTCAGTTTCAGAGACTGATTTCTCTCCAGCTTACATTCCTCCTCCATCTTATTCAACCGGTGCTTTAGCTGATCGATCTGAAACACCCCAAGGGTGCCAAGGGGAGAAGGCAGGTGGCAAGAAACACTCAGAAAAGGCAACGCTACCCCAGATTCCACTGGGCTGGGCAGCATAACCTGAGTTATGCCCCTCCTTCTTTCAGGGGCAGAGAAGGACTCCAAGAAACCTTCTCCAGTAAAACAAACCGTCATCTCCCTATTGATGGAGAGTTCCTGATTAGTCTATTTAGAAATAGCTCCAAAGGGGCTACAGACCTCAGAGAAAATTCCCTCAACCTTTGTCGGGTGGAACAGGTTATGGATTTTGGGATAAAAGAGATCCAAGTTGGTGTTTCTCACGTCAACGCCCTTCTCTGATGGGTTTTTCAAATTCTGATCCTCGGAACTCAAGGATTCCCCTGAAGAATCCCAGGGTTATCCAGGGGGAAGGAGGAGATGGTTGAGAAATCGGGGTTCTGGGTGTCCACCCTGACTTCATGTCCCAGAACAGCTCTGCTTGTGTGGTTTGTTCTTTGGGGTTTCACATAGATTTTATTTGGATAAATAGCACTGTTGCTAAAAAGGAAGAGGAGGAGGAAGAGGAAAAAGAAAGAAGAAAAAGCAGGAGAAGGGGGAGAAGAAGAAAAGTAGAGGAAGAAGAGGAAGAAGAAGAGGAAGGGGAAGAAGAGAAAGGAGAGGAAGAGGAAGAGGAGGAAGTAGAAGGAGATGAAGAGGAAGAAGAGGAGGAGGAGAAGAAAGAAGAGGAGAGGAGAGGAGGAGAAGGAAGGAGGAGAGGAAGGGGAAGAGAAAGAGGAAGAAGAGGAAGGAGAAGGAGGAGGAGATGGAGAAGAAGGAGGAGGAGGAGAAGAAAGAAGAAGGAGAAGAAGGAGGGGGAGGGGAGGAGGAGGAGATGGAGAAGAAAGAGGAGGAGGAGAAGAAAGAAGAAGAAGGATAAGAAGGAGCGGGAGGGGAGGAGGAGGAGAAGGAGAAGAGGAAGAAGAAGGAGAAGGAGGAGAAGGAGAAGAGGAAGAAGAAGAAGGAGGAGGAGAAGAGGAAGAAGAAGGAGGAGGAGGAGAAGGAAAGGAGGAGAAGGAGAAGAAGGAGAAGAATGAGAAGGAGGAGGAGGAGGAGGAGGAGAAGGACAAGGAGAGCCTGAAATCGACTGAATTGTAATTTCACAGGCTCTCCGGCCTAAAGAACTTTCCTAGACTTAGTGGCAGAAAGAGTGGCTTCCTGGAGGAGGCAGCTATTGCATCTGGAAATGAGACAAGTAGAGATGTGCTGATTTTCACACTCAAGAGTTTAGTGTCAGGAACTGGGACCAGCAGAAGACTTCTTCAACTTGTGAGACTAAACCGTGTGCCTCCCCAAACACACTGGCTTGGCTAAAATATCCCAAATAAGACGGTTGCATTCAAGGGCTATAAAGAAAGGAGGCACCAAAGCGGAGAGTGTCATTTTTTCAAATCTAGTCTTGGAGGGAGAATCGTCTCAAGGAATCTGGCAGGTAGAGAGCAGTGGCTTTAGTGAGAAAAGTCCAGCTCCTGCACCCCAGTGATTAACCTGAGACGATGAAGAAAGGGGCGTGCAGGAAGCAGCCTGAGGCCAAGAAAACCAGCCAGGGACCCTGCTGGCCATATGTTCTTCCAAATTCTACTTATACTTTCTCACTATTAATATATCTCCAGGGAAACATAACACAGGAGAAAGTTCCAGGAGAGAAACTTGTAAGTCCCTGCCACAGGGTAACTTCCTCAAATCCTAGGTAAAAACAGCATAGAAATCTCTCCTGCTTATGCAAAAAAAAAAAAAAAAAAAAAAAAAAAAAAAAAAAAAAAAAAAAAAAGAAAAAGAAAAAGAAAAAGGAAAAAAAGCTCCTCAGCATCTTCAAAGCTCAACTCAAGCGTTCCATGCTAAGTCCCAAGTCCCACATGAGCAGGCATGGGGTGCTAGCACTGTGGGGTGCTTACAGGGTCAGCCACTCTGCCCCAAGACTTATGGTTCAGTATCCCAGCAATCCTGGGGCACAGCTATTACTTTCATTATTTCCCTATCTGCAAATGAGGAAACTGAAGCCAACAGCTAAGTAAGTAGTAAAGCATAAAGCCAGAATTTGAACTCAAAACTACAGAACTTACAAAGCTCATGCTCCTAACCAAAACACTATTGCCGGCTATGCCACCGACTCCATTCACCTGAATCCCGGTGGATTGTTTACAGATCTGGCTGCTTCACTAAACTGTAAGTGACCTAAGCACAGCTCACGTGATTTATCCCCATGTCTCCCACAGTGCTTAGCACAGTGCCTCACACGTGGCAGGTGCTTAATAAATATTCTGTGAGTCTATTTTCCACCCAGCAGCCAGAGTGATCCTTCTCAGATATAAATCGTCACTCCTCAGCTCTCAATCCTTCAGAGGCTTCTCATCACAACTAGAATAAATCCCAAAGTTTTTACCATGGCCCCATGATCTGGATCCTGCCATCCCTTCCACTCCCTCTGCACCATTTGTTTATTTGGCTCTGGCCCCACTGACTCTCCTGCCATTTCTTTTCTCTTTTCTCTTTCATTTCCCTTCCTTCCTTCCTTCCTTCCCTCCTTCCTTCCTCCATCTCCTTCCTTCCTTCTTTCCTTCCTCCCTCCTTCCCTCCCTCCCTCTCCTTCCTTTCTTCCTTCCTTCCTCTCTCCCTTCCACTCTCCCTCTCCTTCCTTCCTTCCTCCCTCCCTCTCTCCCTGCCTCTCCTTCCTTCCTTCCTTCCTCTCTCCCTTCTTCTCTCCCATCCTCTCTCCCTTTCCTTCCTTCCTTCCTTCCTCCCTCCCTCCCCCCTTCCTTCCTCCCTCTCCTTCCTTCCTTCCTCCCTCCCTCCTCCTTCCTTCCTCCCTCTCTCTCTCCCTTTCCTTGCTTCCTTCCTCCCTCTCCTTCCTTCCTTCCTTCCTCCCTCCCTTTCCTCCCTTCCTTCCTTCTTTCCTTCCTTCCTTTCTTCCCTCCCTCCCTCCTTCTTCTTCTTCTCTCTCTCTCTCTCTTTCTCTCTCTCTCTCTTTTTCGACAGGCATGGCTCATTGCAGCCTGATCTTCTGGACTCAGGCAATCATCCTGCCTTATCCCCCTGAACTACATGCGCATACCACCATGCCTGGCTTATTTCTGTAGAGATGCGGTTTTTGTCAGGTTACCCGTGCTGGTCTCAAACTCCTGGACTGAAGCAATCCTCCCGCCTTGGCCTCCCAAAATGCTGGGATTACAGGTGTGAGCCACCAAGCCCAGCCTTCCTGCTATTTCTTCGAAAATAAAAACAAAAACAAAAACAAAAACAAAAAAATAGGCCTCCTACTTGTGGCCTTTGCAAGTGCTTTCCCCCTGAGACTTGCATGGGTGGCTCCTTTCATCCCTTCAGATCTCTGTTCACGTGTCTCCTTCTCAGAGACCTTTCCTGGCCACCCTATTTAAAGTAGCAACCCTCATGTTCTGTCCTCACGCCCTGTCTTCTCTTCTTGAGAACACTCATTTCTACCAAGTATTTATGCATTTGTTTTCTGATTACAATGTTAGTTCCACCACAGCAGGGTTTTAGTCTTGAGCTATGTATCCCTGAAAAAGAGCCTAGGGGCCAGGCATGGTGGCTTACACCTGTAATCCCAGCACTTTGGGAGGCCAAGGTGGGCAGGTTGCCTGAGACTAGGAGTTCAAGACCAGCCTGGGCAACATGGCAAAACGCTGTCTCTACCAAAAATAGAAAAAGGGAGGCGGGTAGGAAAAAAATAGAAAAAAGGTAGCTGGCATAGCACGTACCTATAGTCCCAGCTACTTGGGAGGCTAAGTTGGGAGGATCACCTGAGCCTGCAAGGCCAAAGCTACAGTGAGCTGTGATCACACCACTGCACTCCAGCTTGGGTGACAGAGAGACTGTGTCCAAAAAACCCCCAAAAACCAAAACAAAAAGCCTGGTACCTGGTGGCACTTAATAAACAGAAAGAATGAATGAGGCCGGGTGCAGTGGCTCCTACCTGTAATCCCACCACTTTGGAAGGCCAAGGCAGGCGGATCACTTGAGCCCAGGAGTTGCAGACCAGCCTGGGCAAAATAGCGAGACCCCTTTTCTATAAAAAAAAATTGAAAGAATAGCCTGGTGTGATGGTGGGCACCTGTAGTCCCAGCTACTTTGGAGGCTGAGACAGGAGGATCACTTGAGTCTAGAAGGTCAAGGCTGCAGTGAGCCAAACCATGATCGCACCACGCAGCCTGGGCAGTGGAAGACCCTGTTTCAAAAAAAAAAAAGAAAGAAAAGAAAGAAAGAAAAGAAAGGAAGGAAGAAGGAAGAAAGAGAGAGGAAGGAAGGAAGGAGGGAAAGAGGAAGGAAGGAGGGAAGAAGGTAGGAAAAGGAAAGGAAAGAAGGAAAAGAAAAAAAAGAAAGGAAAAGAAAAGAAAAAAGACAAAAGAAAGATGTAAATCTTCTTAATTCATTTGCGGAGTGAGCCATTCCGGAAGCCCCGCCGGGTCTGAGTGTGCATGCACAAGGCGACTCTGGACCCAGAAGTGGAAAGCCGCACTGGGTCCGTCCTTGTGCGCATGTCTGCCCATGCGCATAGGGGATGTAGGCGCTGAACCGGCAGCGCTAAGCACTATGGGTACCTGCGCAGGCGCATGGTGGACCCAGGACCCCCAGAGGCCCTGTGTCCTCCATTCCCTCTCACCTGGCTGGCACGAAGCTCTGGGAGACCATGTGCATGTGCCTGTACCTGCTTTTTGGGGACCTGAGCCCTGGTGACATTTGTTTTCCCCGGAGTAGCCCTTGGGCACCCCTCACCTCGAGTTGGAGGTCTCGGCTCCTCATGACCGCCATGTTTTTCTCCTCACTGAGCTGTGCGTAGCGCATGGCTAAATTGTAGTTGTCGTCCTTCACCTTGACCAGCTCGTCGTTGTAGCTGTCCCGCTCTTCCTTCATCTTGTAGTACCGCTCCTGGAAGGTCAGCAACTCCACGCGCGTCAGCGTCATCTGCTTCTTCTCATCCTCCAGCTGCCGCAACCTGGCCAGCAGCTCGCAGCGTTGCAGGTCCTTGGCCTTCATCTGCTGCTGCAGCTTGATGACCTCGTTCATCAGGAAGTGCGTGAGGCCCTCGTGGCCCTCCTCCACTGTGGAGAGGGGGCACCCAGTCAGGCCTGAGGACTGGGAAGTGGAAAAAGGAGGTTCCAGACGCAGGGCAGGTGCCATTCATTCACTCACTCACTCACCAACGTTGTGCCGAGCTCTTTACTCACTCTGCCCACGAGGTACTGGGGATTCAGAGTGAGCAAGACTCACAACTTTGGCCCCGGGAGAGCTTATGGTGTAATAAGAGAAACGCATTTAAAAAAATCAAATGATCACCACAAACAGAATTACAGACCGTGAGGATTTCACAAAGTAAAGGTAGATGGAGCTATGAGAGTGTGTGGCAGAGGCCCAGATCCAGCCTTGTGGGCAGAGGGGGTTGGAGAAGGCTCCTGATGGTTGAGGTACAATGTTAAGTTCGGGAGGGAAGAGGCATTCTAGGAAAGGGGAACAACATTGCCAAGACCATATGGGGAGAAGGGAGGAACTTGGCATATTTCAGGAACTGAACAAAGACCAAAGTGGCTGAAGGAGAGAGAGAGAAGAGAAAGGTGAGGCTGGGGGTGTCAGCAGGGACTGGATCATGAAGGGTCCTTGTGGGCTGCATTAAAGACCTGGGTCTTTTTTATATTTTAAAACAGGGTCTCACTCTGTCACCCAGGCTGGAATGCAGGGGCATGATCATAGCTTATTGCAGCCTAAAACTCCTGGGTTCAAGCAATTCTGTGGCTGCAGCCTCCAAAAGTGTAGGAATTTCAGGCATGAGCCACTGTGCTTGGACAAGACCTGGGTCTTTACAAAGAAGCAATGAAAAACCACCAGAGGGTTTTTAATAGGGGAGGAAGAATGGAGAAAGCACTGAAACAGATCAGGAATTGATATAGAGAGTTGATGGGGTTGTGGGAGTCTGGACTGTGGGAAGTGTTGGGGAGGGAGAGAAGACTGATTCAAGAATGTTTAGCAAGGAAGATTAAGAAGGCAAGATGCTCAAGGGTTCTGGCCCATGAGACACACAAAAGAATGCAGTCAAGGCAAGGACAAGATCTACCGGGTAGAATGAACTTGTGTTCCACCCAGTGCCATTCACGGGGGATGGTCTGTGAACACCCACTTCTCTTGGCTCCTGCTTCACTTTGCCCCTGTTAACCTATCTTTCATCATCAAGCAAAATAAGTGGTTGACAGACCCCAGTTGTATATGTCATAGATTCACAGCTTTAGAACCATGCCACTACTGAGGACACACACATACACTCACACATACGCCCCTCCTATTAGAGTCTAGATGTTCCCAATGGCAAAAGCACTTACCCACAATAGTGGAGAATCTCCGGGTGGGCTCTTTCCCGGTCACCAGTTTGTACAGCTCGGGGTAATAAAATTCCAGGCTCTCCAAGAAGACCACATAGCCCCTTTGCCCCTTGGTATGTAGAATGTCCAACAGCCGGCCTAGGGGAAAGACCAGATCACTCTGTGAGAATATGTACCTGATGGAACACAAGTCCCTGTGGCTGGTCTCATCCTGGACTTGTGTCCTTCAGTCAACTCTACGAAGACAGTCTCCCCACATTCTGTCACTTCTGAGTTGTATCTTGGAGCCAAGATGATGTAAATCAAAGTGCCAGACCCTCCGCAGGGATTCGTTGAGCATTTGTTTTCTTTTTCTAATAAATTGGTAGAACCAGGATAAGTGGAATTGCCACCCCAGTTTTGAAGTTTCCCAACTGACCAGGGCCAAAATGAACCATGTAGGCACCAGGTCTTCTATGACTGAAGGAGGTTGGAAGCACGATAACAATTATGGAATAATATATGGTTCTCTGGGATTGAGAGCAGGAAGATAAATATTTGGGTGAGGGTCTAGGAAAAAATCATAGGAAGCAGGGATAGTTCTAGGCTTTTCTTTGGGTTTATGACACAACCTGGAAACACCTTAAGTGTAATTTCCTCAGCAGGTCCCAGTTTCTATACTATTGATTCCGCTTATTGCTTACATTTCTGGGCCTTTCCTTAAACATTTTATTTTCAGATATTTCTTCTGAGATATAGAAGAAGAAAGGTAGGTCTTAAAACTCGACCTTTTCCTTAGGACGGATGGAAGAAATACATTTGATGTAATGTCAACCCCGATGATTTGGTGAAGCTGCCTGCAGTACTGTTTTGAGAAATATTCCAAAGTTATATCCAAGCTCAGTGGGAAAACATGCTGATTAGTGATGTCTGCCATGGATGCCAGAGAGTCGCAGCTGATGAGCCATTTACCACCAGCCACGCTCGGGGACAGTGATTATCAAACCTTCTAAACTGATCCATAGAAAGAAAAACATTTAACATTGTGGTCTAGTGACCACAAACAGAGATAACTCTACAAATACATGTGTATACACATGTACATAATATACAATTAAAACAAGCTTCACAAACCATATTTATTACCTTTACTGAATATGATAAAGTGTCCTACCCACCCCCACCGGAAGTCAGGCTAGAAAAGCCTGTGGAACCCTTCCTGGAATAATATTTTTAAACAGATAAAGTACATCAGATTACAAAAGAAACCAATTATAATAAAATCCAGTTATCAAATATTAAATAAATTTGTGTTTCAGTAACGTACTTCTTTATTAATGCACTAAATAACAAGACCTCTTGGCAGATCTAATAAGTACTGTAATTTTGAAAGAGAGATGAGTGTAAGTGGCATTTTGAGAGATTTGCAGTAGCTGTAGTGATAGGAAGAGATCTGTAATTTTCATTGTTGCCTAAGTCACAGGAGTTATTAATCACTACTGTAATTCGTGGCCTCCTGACATTTGCAATTGAGGGCAATGCTAAATTGCTGTTGAGGTTAGTAAAATAAAGACGGCATTTCTTCCCCACTCCCAGCTTACGCATTCTTTGCGTTCTATACACAGACAGCTTGAGTTCTATACACAGATGAGTGGGTGGTGGTCTGTGGACCCCAGTTTAAAAATCCCTGACCTAGAGCAACCTCATTTTGGTACAGCTACCAAAGGGTATGTCTGGAAGTTGCCTTGTGCTGTAGCCCTCCCTCTCGCGCAAAGAGGTCCTAAGGTTACCTGCCCGGTTGATCTTGGACGGCAGCATAGGAGCGTTAAGCACTTCATCTTCATCCTGCTCATCAATGACCTTACACTGACGCAGGTAGGGCGTGAGCTTGGCGGGGTTGATGTAGCGACTGAGCATGTGCCGGTTACACTCCACATTCTCCCACAAGGCGTCCTCTTCATCCTTCAGCGTCTCCATGTAGTCATCCATCTCTGGCCCTCCTCCTTTTAGACATAAACCCCAACAAGCTTAATAAAAGAGTCTCACCGGAACAGCTCTATAAACTCCTCTGGAGTGATCTCTAGAATATATTAAGTTAAAAAAAAGTACCGTACAGTAAAGTATATATGGCATTTTACCTTTTATCTAAGAAAGGGGGTATGAACATAAAAATATATATTTCCTTATATACTAAACATAAACAATGGAAGTTTAAACCATAAAAATTTTAAAAGATTATTTATAGGGCAGAGAGGGAAAATCCTGCAATTGGAGTCTACCCTTTCCATCCAAGTTTTTATGTCTTACTAAAAATGTATAGTTCCCTAAACAATATATACTATTGGTTTTTGTTTTAAAATTTCACATAAATGGTGTCATACTGTATATTTCCTTTTTCAACATGTTTTTCTCCCTCTACATTTTATTTTTGAGATTTATCTAGGTGGATACATATAGATCTAAGTCATTCATTTTTAAAAACAGCTTTATTGTGATATAATTCACATACTATACAAGTTACCTTTTTAATGTGTTCAATTCAGTGATTTTAGTATATTCATAGAATTGTGCAACCACCACCACAATCAATTTAAAAACATTTCCATCATTTCAAAAAGAAGCTCCTCACCCTTTATTAGCCACTCTCAATTTCCCTCTAATCCCTGCCCCTCCATCCCGTGTAACTACTCATTCACCTTCTGTCTGTATAGATTTGCCTTTTCTGTACATTTTATACAAGTGAAATCCTACAATTTATGGTCTTTCATGGCTGGCTTCTTTTGCTTAGCAACTTTTCAAGGTTTGTTCCTGTTGTAGCATGTATCAGGACTTCATTTATTTGAAATTGCTCAGTGATTTTTTCATTGCATGGACACACCACATTTTGCTTGTCTATTCATTCACTAATGGACATTTGAGTTGTTTCTGCCTTTTGTCTATTATGAACAATGCTGCTATGAACGTTCATATACCAGTTTTTGTGTGACTGTATGTTTTTATTTCCCTTGGGTAGATACATAGGAGTGGATTGTTAGGCCATATGGCAACTCTATATTTAACATTTTGAGGAACTGCCAAACTGTTTTCCAAAGCAGCTGCATCATTTTACATTGCCACCAGCAAGCCATGAGGGTTTTAATTCCTCCATATTCTTGCTAACACTTGTTATTGTCTGCCTTTTTTTATTACAGCTCTCCTACTGAGTGTGAAGTAGCATCTCATTGTGGTTTTGATTTGCATTTCCCTAATGACTAACGATGTTGAACATCTTTTCATGTGCATATTGGCCATTTGTGCATTGAGAAATGTCTATTCAAATCCTTTGCCCATTTTAAAATTGTGTTGTTTGTCTTTTTATTATTGAGTTGTAGGATTTTGTTATGTATTCTGGATGCAAGCCACTTATCAGATATATGACTTGCAAATATTTCTCTCATTCTGTCAGTTGTCTTCCCTTTCTTAAAAGCATTGTTTGTAGCATAAAACTTTTAAATTTTGAGGTAGTCCAATTTATTTTTTTCTTTTTTTCACTTGTGCTCTTGGCATGTATCTAAAACACCATTGTCTAAATCAAGATGATGAAGATTTACTCTTGTTTTTTTCCTTTGAATATTATACCTTAGCTCTTATGTTGAGGATGATCCATTTTAAGTTAATTTTTGTGTATGGTGTGAGGTAGGGGTCCAACTGCATTCTTTTGTGTGTGGATGTCCAGTTGTCCAAGCACAGTTTGTTTGAAAAGACTATTCTTTCCCCATTGAATGATTTTGCTACCCTTGTTGACAATCAACTGACCATAAAAGTAAACATTTGTTTTTGCACTATTGATTCTATTCCATTGATCTATATGTGTATCCTTATGACAGTACTACATTGTCTTGATTATTGAAGATTTGTAGATTTGTAGTAGGCCTTGAAATTGGGAAGTATGAATCTCCCAAACTTGTTCTTTTTCAAGATTGTTTTGGCTATTAGGTGCCTTTTACAACTCTTACGGATTTTGGGATTAGGATGTCAATTTGTGCAAAAAAATGCAGTTGGTATTTTGGTAGTGAATCTGCTGAATATCTAGATCAATTTGGGGAGTACTGCTACCTAACAATATTGAATCTTCTGATCTGTGAACATGGGGATGTCTTTCTTTAAATCTTCTTTAATTTCTTTCAGCAATGTTTCATAGTTCTCAGTGTACAAATCTTGCACTTCTTTTGTTAAATATATTCCTAAGTATTTCATTATGTTTGATAACATTATAAATGGGAGTTTTTTTCTTAATTTCATTTGTGGAATATTCATTGCTGGTCTATAGATATATAATTTATTTTTGTATATTGACCTCGTATTCTGCAACCTTGTGAAATCATTTATTCTCATAATTTGTTAGAGACACCTTATGATATCCTATATATAAGATCACGTCATTTGCAGATAAAGATAGTTTTACTTCTGTTTTTCCAATCTGGGTGCCTTTTATTTTTCTTCCTTGCCTAATTGCTCTGGCTAAAATACCTCCAGTACTATGTTAGATAGAAGTGTTGACAGAGGAATCCTTGTTTTGTTACTGATGTTAGCGGACAGCATCCAGTCTTTCACTGTCAAGTATGACATTAGCTGTAGGCTTTTGCTTTTGTTTTTAGAATAGATGTCCTTTATCAGGTTGAGGAAGTTTTCTTACCTTCTTGGTTTGTTGAATGTTTTTACCCCGAAAGGGTTCTTAATTTTGTCAGATGCTTTTTCTGCATTTATTGAGGCTGCCGTGTGGTTTTTGTTTTTTATTCTATTGATATGGTTACACTACCTGACCTTCAGCTGTTAAACTAACCTTATATTCCTGGCATAAATCCCATGTGGTCATGGTATATAATTCTTTTTATATGTTGCTGGATTTAATTAGCCAGTTTTTAAAAATAGGATTTTTGCATTCATATCATAGGAGATATTGGTCTGTAGTTTTCTTTTCCTGTGATGTCATTGTCTGGTTTTGATATCAGGGTATATCAGGGTATTTCTTTTCCTGTGATGTCATTGTCTGGTTTTGATATTGGCCTCAGAATGATTTAGGAAGTGTTGCTTCCTCTCCTGCTTTTTGGAAGCGGCTTTTAAGAATTGGTATTAATTTTTCTTTTGTTTGGTAGAACTTACAAGTGAAGACATCTGGGCATGGGTTTTTCTTTGTGGATTATTTTTACAAATTCAGCCTCCTTACTTATTACAGGTCTGTTCATATTTTCTGTTTGTCTTGAGCCAGTTTCAGTAGTTTGTGTCTTTCTAGGAATTTGTCCACTATATTTAAGTTATCCAATTTATTGGCAGCAATTGCTCACAGTTCCCTTCATAATTCTTTTTATCTCTATAAGTTCAGTTATAATTTCCCCCCTTTCATTTCTGATTCTAGTAATTTGCATCTTCTCTAATTTTATTGATATATCAAAGAACCAACTTTTGGTTTCATTAATTCTCTGTATTCCTTTTCTATTCTCAGGTTCATTTTCTTCTGCTCTAGTCTTGTTTATTTCCTTTCTTTTCATTGCTTTAGGTTTAGTTAGCACTTCTTTTTCTACTTTTGTAAGAGTGGAGGTAAAATTGCCTTTGCAAAATTTGTAACAAAAATTCTGACAGTGAAAGAGATCTGACGTAACCAATTCCATCTTGCTTCTAACCTCCAAGCTGTCCTTGTTCATTCCTGGGCAGAGGCCAAACTGATTTTGGGAGGAACTTAGTTCATAGATTAATGTATTATTCTGCTGCTGTCAGATGGAGTGTACTACAGATGTCTGTTAGGTCTGATTTTTTTTTTTGAGACAGAGCCTCTCTCTGTCCCCCAGGCTGGAGTGCAGTGGTGCAGTCATTACTCACTCCAGGTTCTGCTTCCTGGGTTCCCGCCAGCGCGTCTGGCTAATTTTTGTATTTTTAGTAGAGACAAGGTTTCATCATGTTGGCCAGGATGGTCTCGAATTCCTGATCTCAAGTAATCCACCTGCTTTGGCCTCCCAAAATGCTGGGATTACAGGTGTGAGCCACCAAGCCCGGCCAGGTCTGGTTTGTTTATAGTGTTGTGCAAATCTCTTATTTGTTGATCTGCCTAGTTGTTCTATCCATTGTTGAAAGTAGAGTAATAACGTCTTCAACTCTTTTTTTTTTTTTGAGACGGAGTCTCACTCTGTCACCCAGGCTGGAGTGCAATGGCGTGATCTCGGCTCACTGCAATGTCTGCCTCTCAGGTTCAAGTGATTCTCCTGCCTCAGTCTCCCGAGTAGCTAGGATTACAGGTGCCTGTCACCACGCCTGGCTAATTTTGTATTTTTAGTGGAGACGGGGTTTATCCATTTTGGCCAGGCTGGTCTCGAACTCCTGACCTCAGGTGATCCACCCGCCTCGGCCTCCCAAAGTGCTGGGACTACAGGCATGAGCCACTGCGCCCAGCCAACGTCTTCAACTCTTATTGTTGAATTGTGTATCTCTCCCTCCAGCTCTGTCCATCTTTGCTTCATGTATCTGGGGCTCTGATAGGTGCACATGCTTATAACTCTTACAGCTTCCCAGTGGATTGACCATTTTATCATTATGAGATGTTCTTTAGCCACAGCCAAATTCCTGGACCTGGGGATTTCATATGTGGTGGGATGGGTGAGTGTGCTGGGGGCAACTGAGCTAGAAGGTGGCATTGGTGTAGCCATGGAGGTTGGAGCTCAGCCAGGGTGAAGAGACACGCAGGCAGGTCAAGGCTATCAGGGCAGAGAAGAGACAAACAGAGGAAGCTGGTCTGCCAAGTGGCACCATGGCGAGACCACGAGGTTCCATGAGAAGCGGATGACTGGGGTCATCTCTCTTGGTGCATAACTCAGTTCCCAACCTCATGAGCCTTGGCCTTCTGTGGTGTCTGGTCCTTGTTGTAGGCCTTCTATATCCCTCCACCTTCCCCATTAATTTGAGCCATTAAATTTTTTTTAAAAATTATTTTTAGAGACAGAGTTTTGCTCTGCCACCCAGGCTGGAATGCAGT